CCCACCCCTAAGGAGCAGAAAGTATATGTGCAGCACCGGCTCCAGGAGCTAGGGCCGCTTGTCTGGGAGCTGCTGGATCGCCGAGGTGCCCACTTCTATCTAGCAGGGTGAGCCAGCTTGGGAGTGTGGAAAAGTGGACCAGCCTTTGGGTTGGGGGGTGTGAGCCCAAGATCACTGAGCTATTTGAGGCCTGCCCCCTCCAGCAATGCTAAATATATGCCCACGGATGTTGAGGAAGCCCTGACGTCTGTCTTCCAAGAAGAAGGCCAGCTTTCCAACGCCGATGCAGCTGCCTACCTTGCCAGGCTCCAGCGGACACTGCGCTTCCAGACAGAGACCTGGGCCTGAGGAGTCACTTTGCCAGCCCACACCACACTGGCAGCTGCTCTGGAGGCCTACTAGAGAATCTAGAGGGCCCATTGTCATCTCCTGGCCCTCTCTGATCTCACAGCACTTTTTTTAGATTCATTGTGTGGTTTCCCAGCCCCAGCTGAGCAAGAGGACACCCCCCGCCTCATACACCCACAGTCTATGGAACCCAGGGTCCCACTCAGCCCCAACCGTACTGCAGCCTATACCCTTGCTGCCTCTCTGTCCATTCTGCCCCAAACTTGTGGCCCACACTACCCTGGACCAGCACAACGCCCCAGGAAGGCAGCCATTGTTCTGGGAACCAGGGACCTGTGAGCCCTCCAAGGAGTATGGGGTCCTGTGAGGGCTGCACAGCCCCTCTGCTTTGGTGCAGCCATCCCATAGCACCTGTGGGGCTCAGGCTCAGGGAAGAGGCTGCTAGAACCCAGGTCTCCTGAGTACTTGAAAGGGGCAAGCTTGTCTATCTCCTGGTCTATAAGCATCAGCAGTAAACTGCCCTGGTAGCTGCTCCCACGTGTGTTCTGCTTTTTTCTTGTTCTGGTGGTGGGCAGGCCATAGCTGTCTGCATCAGCCAAAGGTTGCAATGACCCTCCATGGCATGTGCAGTATGCGTACATGTATGTCCCTGTCAGTTCCCTCTGCCTGAGTCACACTTGATTTAGGCGGCTTTTTTGTTTTGTTTTGTTTTGGTTTTGTCTTACTGAGACGGGTCTCTGTAGCCCTAGCTGGCCTGGAACTCACTATGTAGACCAGGCTGGCCTCAAACTCCCAGAGGTCTGCCTGAGTGCTAGGATCAAAGGCGTGCACCACCACACCTAGGACTTGGGTGTTCCATGTGTAAATGCCTACTAGTGCCCACCATGTACTTAGGAGGCAGGTCTTGGCCCTCTCTGATCCTAAATATTGTCAGCTAGGCCAAGCCCTCTAGACCTGTAATGGCCACAAAGGGAAGGCCCAGAGAGCTATTGGGAGGTGCTGGCCAGGTGCAGGGGTAAACTATTCTTTTCTGCCCAGAGAAGGTGGGAAGGAAAGGGCAGAGAGGCGTGGTTTATGATCTCGCCCATTGGCAGGGCCTCCACCCCTGGGAGGAGAAACCCTGTTGGAGGAGTCCAACAGGTCTGAGGGTAGCTGGGAGCCGAAGAACCTCTGTTTTATCGGTCAGCTGCTTGCTTGGGGATCAGACCTAACCAACACCAGCCTGAAACACCAGAAGCTGACACTCTGCAGAGACCCAAGTGAAATTTACTTCCAGTGGGGTCAGCAAGCCAAGAGGTGTGGCCGGAGGTCAGTGCTCCAGTGAGTGGGTTGGAGACCAGGCCCTGTGGGTCACACTGACCTTCAACACCCCCAGCTACCCCTGCTGTCACCCTGGAGTCCTCATCTAATTCTGACATCTCTGAAGGCCCTATGCTGGGGTCTAATGACACCAACTCTGCACCTACCAGTTCACCTTGGGCTTCTCTGGGTTCTGAGCACCTGGACCTACTGTGCCAGCTGCCAGCAGATGAAGGGGATGACTTTAGGGCCCCCCAGGGTGCCAGAACTCCAGACAGTGATCCCCTACTAGGAGCCAGAGACCTAATTGGTGTTTGGGCCTTGCCAACCGTGGAGAAGCAGGAAAAGGGTGAGGGGCAGGCAGAGGAGGAGGAATGCCCTATCTGTACTGAGCACTATGGGCCTGATGAGCACTGTCTGGCCTTGCTGAACTGTGGTCACAGCCTGTGTGCGGGCTGCCTGCAGCAGCTGCTGGGCATGGCCCCCAACGCTGACCTGGGCCGTGTGTGCTGCCCACTGTGTCGTCAGAAGACACCTATGCTAGAGTGGGAGATCTGCCAGCTGCAGGAAGAACTGCTTCAAGCTGATGGGCCCCAGCGCCCATTGCCTACCACACCACCCCAACTCCCACACCGTCAGCCTGGGCCCTGGGGCTCCCTAGAGCACCGCTACCAGCTACGCTTCCTAGCAGAGCCTGTGGGTGGCCGGGGCTGTCTGCCTTTCCTGCCCTGCCCTCCCCATCTGGGCACCTGGCTGTGGACACTGCGGGAGCGTGGGCCCTGTGCCCGCCGCCTGGCACTGCTGAGCCTGCTGGCACTGGAGCTGCTGGGGCTGCTGCTCATCTTCATGCCTCTCATGCTACTAGGGGTGCTCTTCATGCTCCTGGACCGCTCCAGCCATTGAACAGCTCAGGATGGGACCTGATGTCCAGGCTGGAAACCCCATGCTCAGTCTCGTATTCAGTAAAGACTTGCTATCACCCTCCCCAAGACAGGCCACCCAAGAGCCTGAGCCAGCCAGTGCTCACTGCCCAGACACTGGCCGAACCCAAGGACACTAAGCCAAGGACAGCTTCTGAAGGAGGCTGGCCCACAGGAAGAGCTACAACCTTGCATGCATGCCACAGACACCGTACTGACCATGAGCAGAAGCTGGCCCACACTTCCAGCTCCTAAGGTCAAGCTGATCAGGATGGACACAAAAATGAACAGAGACCCAGCACCCAGAAAAAGACACAGTCTGCAAAGACTCCCTGTTCCAAACAGGTTAGTGTGTGTCCCTGAAGGCCACAGCAGTGGCTACAGTAGCTGACTTGCTGCACACACTCAGCCTTCAAAGGCTCTTCACCCAACCTAGGCTACCCACCTCACCAGTCAGGGGTCTGCACTGGTTCTGTGCTGCAAAGGACAACAGCCAACCCAGACCTTGATGCTGCTGATGCCCAAGCTCCAGCTCTGACTGCCATACAACTTCACACACCTGAGCTGAGCCAGGGGCCCTCACTTGGAAGGTAGACACAAATTTAGGCCCATCTCATAGCTTGGTGGTACAGTGTGAGGTGGGGGTGTTTCAGGCTGGGTGCTGTACCCAGTACAAGAATGGCTCTCAGTAAACAGTTGCTACTAATACCATTGGGACCACAGCTGTTCTCACTATTACTCCATCTCCACCATCCAGGCAGCTCTCCCCACACCCCCCTTCTCCAAGTGCAGTCAATCCAGTGCCGTACAGGAAGCTGCTAAGTCCTTTACCAGTGCCTTGATCTTAGCCAGCTGTAAGCCCCCTGCTCAGGCTACCCAAAGACCATTTGACACATCTTGGACAGGTCACACCACACTTAGGGCAAGGTGAGCACAAGCCACTGACTGAGTTGTCCATAACATAGCTACTCCAATGCCATTGACCAGAGGATTGCTAGTAAACACCACCACACACCGCTGAAGGTTTTGTCTTTACCCACCTGGGACACAGCCCCATGTAGCATACAGTAGTCCTCTGCACCCATATATGGGGATTTTCGCACGAGCCACAGCCAGTCCCAGACCTCATGAGTGTCATGCTTGGCCCAGCTTAGTCCTCAACAAACAGAGTAGGTCAAACTTGAGTGGAGTTGGGTATCCTTCTGACAACTCCAGATTAGACCCCATCTGGGCTATGGCCCTAGGCCCAGGCCAGGGCATAGCCCACAGGAGTGAGCTTCAATCCAGGGAACAGTGCAAACTTTGGCAAAGAGTTTTAATGGCAAAGTTGGCTGCAGCGACAATGCCACGCAGGGTAGGGCCAGAAGCCACAGTGGGCAAGGAAGGGTCAGCGGGCAACAGGGCAGGGCCAGGTCCCTGAAGAAGCGGTGAGCAAGGGCCGGCAGGCAGTAGTGGGCAGGTGGATGCTACATGATGGAACAGGCAGACAGTGGGTTCCGCACATGGCAAGTGCATGCAGCCCCACAGTACTGCCGGAAGGTCTGGTAGCAGCTGCCCTCAGGCTCACCCCCCCACTGGCCACCGGATGGGGCAGTCAGGGCTTCAGGTGGCAGGCGGCTCAAGATGGACGTGTTGACAGCCAAGGCAGCCAGACCATAGTCAGTGAAGAGCACAGTCTCACGGTGGCAGGTGGGACAGGAGATGAACTTGTACTTGGGGCAAGACTCATATAGAATCTGCAGGCACTGCTCACACACGGAGTGCAGGCAAGACAGCACACGGGGCCGCCGCTGGGTGACGTTGTATGTGTGCCCACAGGTGGGGCATTCCAGGGGCTCACCTGCTATCACTGCCCCTGATGATGAAGGTGCAGAGGCTGTTGGGCCAGGTCGAATCACGTATTGATTCACAATGACCTCGTCCACTGGGGCCACCCGGGGGAAGCCCAGTTCTGAGCTGCCCTTGCGGGGCCGCCTTGGCAAAGGTGGGGTGTGGGGTGCACCTTCCAAGGTAGGCATGTCCCCCCCACATGCTTGGTTGACAATAATTTCTGTGTCTGAGGGCCAAGCACGCTTGGGTGCCAGAGTGGGAGTGGGCCGGGGTGCAGGTGGGAAGCAGGGCGCTGCCGCTGGGAGCTCAGGGAACTTTTCAGGATGGACAATCTTCATGGCCTCCATTTTGAGGATGACATGGGGGCCTTTCAGGCAGGACATGAGGAGGCCCGGCCAGCCACTGCCCACCTCGGGCCCAGGGTCAGCCGGCATCGGGCTCTCTCCAGTCAGACTGGATGTTGGCACAGGTGGGGGTGTAGGGTGGGGTCTCGGGGGAAGAGAAGGGGCAGCATCCTGGTCCTGCCAGGCCTTGTGGGGACCCCGGCCGCCCCTTGGACTGCTAGGGGCGGCCGGTGACAGCTGAGGGGGCAGGGCTCCCCCCAATGGCCACAATGACTTCTCTGCTTCAATTCTCGGGGGAGGAGGAAGGGGAAGGGGAGGGGGAGGGGGAGGCAGGCGGGGGCAAGGAGGTGTGGGAGGCTGCCTTGGGTTGGAGGTCTGGCCCAGGGGCTCACCCAGGGTCTCTGTCTGCTGAGGCTGGCAAGGGGGCGTGGAGGGGCCTCCTCCTGAAGCAGACGTCAGCAGTCCCCGGGCCGGGACATCTGGGCAGGCAGGGGCTAGGTGGGCCCCATGGCTCCAGGACAGGGTGCCCAGGGAAGGCAGCTAGCCTGAGCCCTGGCTGCAGGAGAACCTGGACTGCAGGCTCCGCGGCAACAGCAGAGGAGAGGCCTGCACCAGGCCTGAGCTGCGGGTGAGAGACAGCATGAGGGCAGCGCGGGGCCCACCTCGCTCTCACCCTCACCCCCACCCAGCACAAAGGACTGGGTGTCCGACCTCTGACCCTGACCATGTCATCCCTGGTATCCGAGTCTCCACAGGACTCTGGACCCTGCCCCCTCCCCAGTACGCCCTCCAAGGCCGGACGCGCGGTCCAGAAGACTGACCCTGTGCGACTAACGGGGGATGATGCATCCGACCCCCGCCCCTCCCCCGCTCACCTGCCCCAGCCTGGCGTCCCCCGGCCGTGCCGCCGCCGCAGAGGTTGTCTCAAAGGCAGGCCCGGATGCGGCGCTCGCGCCTCTGCTCGCCGGCTCCGGCAGCTCCGGCGGCTCCAGCGGCGACCCCGGGCGATGGCGGGCGCAGGAGACACCCAGGGGCGCGGGCGCGGGTGCTGATCGCTGGGCTCTGCGCGGCGGCGGCGGCGGCGGCGGAGGCGGAACGAGGCCCGGAGGGACACGCCCGCGCCCGCAGCGCCACCCCCTGTCTGGGGACCCGCGCGGGGTCCATGGGGCGGGGCCAGTCTTCTAGCCGCCCCTCGATGCACTCCAGGCCTGACGATCGCGCCTGGGGTCGATCCCCCAAGGGGTTTACCTGCGGGTCAGCGTCCCCGCGTCGCCCCCATCCTTCCCTCCCTTCCCTCGGGGCTGGCCAGCCGAGGAGCCGAGCCCTACGCCGTATTCTGGAAGGAGTAGCATTCCGCCCTCATACGTGGAGGTTTCACAGTGTCCAAGCGGGGGCCTCAGAGCTCCATCTGAAAAGGGAGCGTCCTTCCACCCTGCCGCCCCTAGAAATGACCCCCTGGAGTTCTCCCACTCCCCGGCACACCCTTACTGCACCCATCACTGGCCAACTCGGAGAGGGCAATACAACAGCAAAATGAGTTGAGCAGGGAATGGACAGAGGGGCTGGGGGAGGCAGAAGGAAGCGCAGAGGATCAACCACAGGTGGAGAGTATGCGAAATGGTTTGGAGATATCTGGGACAGCTTGGCCGTCCACGTGTTGGGTGGAGAGCCCACCTGGCACACTCACCTGCCCAGGGTGGGGTAGCCCTTTCTGGCATCTCATCCGGTTAGCACGTGCGTCTCTGTCACACAGTTGTGTGTTAAACTGACCCACCCAGAAGAGGTTCATTCCTTTCGTCTTCCTTTTCCTACCCTTCTCTAACCCTGACCTCACCTCTGCCTGAAGGGAGCCCTCGGCGAGAGTGAGGGGAGGACAAGGACACGCTGGTAACGGCAGGGTCCAGGGGGCCATCCTCTACCTTTTCATGGTGGCATGGTGCCACGCCTGTTACCAGTACTGAGCCCTGAGCCTAATCCTGGACAGTCCAGGTCCTCTGCAGGGTATAGCCCCTCTCTGTACAAGCCAGACCAAGGGAACAGTATTCCTGGTGAGCCAAAGCAGTCAGGTTTGACAGCTCAATGCACCTCGGGCCCGCATCTGGGCTCGTTCAAGAGAGGGATTCAGGAGAAGGGGACGCGCCCCCATGGGACTCCAGCATGATGGTGGTGTAACTCAGGTAGCTGTGACCAGAGAACGACCAGAGTCCATCCTTCACAGGCTTGCTGGGTTAACTGACCCTCCCACCCGACCTGCGGTACGGCCCCCTACGGCCCCACCCCTTGCCCAAAGACCCCGCCTCGAGAGGCGAAGCCCCGCCCCGTAGGAGAATAAATCGCACCCCCGCCCCGCCTTTCAGCGCCAAGTAGCCAATCATCCGAACCGGCTCTTTTGGGAAACCCTGGAGCGCGGGGGCTTCTGGGGAATAAAATTGCCACTGGGCGCCTGGGCCTGGTTTGCGCATGCACCAGGCTCCGCCTCGCGGTGAGGGGAGGAGTCTATAGGGGCGGTGGGCAGGGCTTACGTCTCTTGCGTGATTAGCCACTTCCTGAGCCCGAGCCCTCCAGCCCAGCTCTGCCTACTTGCTAGGTCTCCAGCAGGCCTGTCTCAACCTATCTGCCTGGCACCACGCAGGCCACCCAGTCATCTTGCCAGCCCCGTCCAACTTGGTCTTTTCCTTCCTGGTGCTTTCTGGGGCGTAGTCGGGCCGGTCCCCTCTCCCCCGTGTGTAGACCCAGGCCCACTGGTGCGAATCCTGACCCCACATGCTTGCAACCATTGCCTCACCCCCAGCCCCAGCCCCAGTCTACATGCCCCCTACAGGTGAGGAGCGAAGCCAGGGCCTGGCCAAGGATGGCGTGCTTGTGCCAGGAAACTGGGGAGCTTTCACCCCAATTCAACCCATGAAGACGGTAGTTTCAGCAGTGAGCTCAAAACATCACTTGTGTCTCAAGTCCATGTTACCACTTGTAAGATAGGTAAAGTTTATCTACAAAGGTGTGTCAATGGGGCTGGAGAGATGGCTCGGCGGTTAAGAGCACTGACTGCTCTTGCAGAGGACCCGGGTTTGATTCCCAGCTCCCACATGGCAGCTACGAACGTCCCTTAACTCCAGTTCCAGGGGAATCCGAAGTCCTCTTTGGACCTCCGCGACATTACACGACACGGGCGCACTCACATACATGCAGGCAATACATTCATACACAAAAAAATAAATAAAATATTTTTTTAAAAGGTGTATCAAACTTTTTTCTTACTAGAAAAATGGAAAATTCTCCAAGTGTTCTGAGTTGTCTTGTGCACTCAAACATCTGGTCTCTGCTCAGTATGGGCTGAGGGTAGCAGAGAGGAGCTCTGCCTCAACTGTGACTGTAAGAGGTGTGAGCAGTGGCTGGGGAACCCCCATACCACCTGCAGCTCCAGAATCTGAAGGCCTGACTCCACTTCCTTGCTGAGGCCATGACCCAGTGAGGCAAGTGTAGGGTATGTCTTGGATGAATTGTAACTGAGTCACCTCAGGTTGGTAAATGCCCCTTAGAGCCCAAATCTTGTCCTCCGCCCACCTGGGAATGAGGGGTGGCTGGCTGCTGTGCTCCAGTTGCTAAGGCCTCTTGGGATCTTAGGAACCCCATCTTTGAGCTCCGCCCCAGAGCCCCACCCCTCTCTAGCAGGGAAAAGGCAGCTGCTGGTAGCTCTACTCACAGGCACAGGGACCTGGAGCTGGAGGACTGGGAGGACAGATTGCTGCTTGCTGCAGGTGAGTCCTGTCCCAGGCAACTGCCCTGTACTCAGCAGTACTCCAGGACAGCCCCTGCTCTCCCTTGGACCAGCTCAGCTATGTCTCCCAGCCCTGCTTCCCCATTCCCAGCTGAGTCCCAGGGACACTGCTAAGACAGTTGTGGGGGGGGGCAGGTAGCTAGGTACCTGGGTTCGTCCCCAAGACACACACGTCTAGCATACATTCTGATGTCTCCACATCTGCAGTCACAGGGTAGCCTTCTCCTGAGAGGGTGTTTTCTTGGGCTACAGACTCTCAAATAGCTTTTCTCGTCTCTTAAGTCCATATCTGTCTCTGCTCACCCCTGCAGCCTCGGCCATGGACCCCCACGAGATGGTCGTCAAGAACCCATATGCCCATATCAGCATCCCTCGGGCTCACCTTCGGCCTGACCTGGGCCAGCAGTTAGAGGAGGCTCCCTCTTCAACCTCTGAGATTCAGCCTCTGCCTTCAGGGACCTGTGCCCAAGAGCCAGCTGGCCTCATGCAACCTCCTGAGGCTCCAGGGCCCAAGGGTACCAAGGGCATCAAGGGAGCTGCCCCTGACCAGAACCAGCAGGCCTGGCAGTCACCCTGCAATCCCTATAGCAGTGGGCAGCGTCCATCAGGACTGACCTATGCTGGCCTGCCGCCTGTGGGGCGTGGCGATGACATTGCCCACCACTGCTGCTGCTGCCCTTGCTGCTCCTGCTGCCACTGCCCACGATTCTGCCGCTGTCACAGCTGTTGCTGTGTTGTCTCATAGCCTGACTAACCAATTCCCAGGGTTGGGAGGCCCAGGCCTCTCCTCAATGCCAAGGTGGTGCTGGACATTAGAAGCAGCCATCATCATGGTCATTGGTCACCTCCTGTCCTGGACAGGGGCACCTGCCCACCAAGAAGGCTCAGCTGGAGCTCTTTGGAATACAGTCCCAGGCACTGGCCATGTTGGCAGCAACAGGGAAGGCCTTGGCAATAAAGCAGGATGAACTTTGTACTAGTGACTCCTCTTTTTGTGAGGGGCCCCTTTGGGAGAGAGTCCCAGGTTGGACAACTACTTCCCTCCCCAACATATACAAATGCAGTGTTCTCAACAGGCTCCTAGACTCTGTATGACCTTCCAGAGACTTCTAGTGCCTCATGACATCCAAACTTTAGCTGCCTAGCAGGTCTCAGTCTGCCCCAGGGACTTGGAGTGGGAGTGTGTCCAACACCCTAGGCAGGTTCCCTAGGGCTGCACACCCTAGGACTAAGGCTGAGATAGTAAACAGGGCCGACCCTGTATCACATAGCAGGAGGGTGCCATGCATGCTGCTGTGGTGGGGGGTACCCCAAGAAAATTCTCTGGGGGAGGGTCAGGTTGGAGAACAATGTTGGTGGGTAGGGCTAGTGCTAGCAGGTTTCAGGGAGTGGGAGCTCAGAATGCAGGGCCCAGGCAGCCAGAACTGAGCCCTGCCCAGTGAGTCACCTCCCAGCTTCAGCCAGAGCACATCTCTAGTTTCCCACGAAACATGTAATTCCTACAATCCAGAGTTCTACTGCCCACCTATCTGGAGAGATCTGCATCAAGCCTTGAAGATGAGGCAGGGAGGGGCTGGATAGAGTGCTGTCTTCCTGTCTGTCCAAGGAGATAAAATGCCTATCTGGGTCCATGTATGAGACGCCAAGGTGTGGAGTAAGGAGGCCAGCTCTGGGTACCCTGAGTTTCTGGGGCAGGCCAGAGCCACACCACCACATGGAGGCGGAAGCAGAGCTGGCCTCACAGGACAGACAGGTCCTCCTGAAGCCAGCCCTTCCTGACGCATAGAGATAGGCAGCAGAACAGGGCAGGGTGGATGTGTGGTGCATGGAAGTCTCCAGGTGTGGGGCAGATAGGTCATTGCTCTGACTTTGCAGGCTCCTGGTCCTCTGCTCCACCAACAGCCCCTATTCCGGCCAGCACAGGAACCTGTTTGACCAGTACTAAAGGCTGACTGCCAAAGGGGTGGGTAGGAGCAAGCAGGGTTGTTCTGCCCTTTAGTTTTCTCCCAACAACACTCTGAGAAGCCCTAGGGGCACTACCAACCTGTCCTAACACAACTGGGTCCTTCTATTTCTGCTCTGCCTCCGGTCTTGGTCGTAGGACACAACTGACCCCACTTCCCTGACCTGTACCTCCCAAGACTAATGCAGAGGCTGAAGATGAGATACACAGTCATCTGGGAGGTGCTTTGGATGGGCGGGGGTGGGGGCGGGGTCACTTCTGGGATGAAGGCCGTTTGAGGGAGATCATCACTTGGTGGTATATGAGCGCCACCTTGGGGCCCGAGGGCTGACTGCTGCCTGTGACAAAAATCACAGGATAGATCTAGTCCAGGTAGGGAGGAAGGTAATGTTAAGAAGTGTCAGAAATTAACAAGAACATGCACCCCAGGAAGGAGCAGGAGCCCTTGGCAGGCACTGAACTGGTCAAGGGGAGGGAGAGGGACAGGCTTCCTGGGAGATGATGTGAGCTGAGGCAGAAGAGTAGGCATCATTCCAGCCAAAGCAAGAAAACTAAGGTGGGAGAGGATGAGAGGGCGGGGGCTTGAGCCTGGGGGAAGGTTTAAGAATGGGGAGGATAGGGGCTGGAGAGATGGTTCAGCAGTTAAGCGCACCAATTGCTCTTGCACGAGACCTGGATTCGATTCCCAACACCTACATGGTGGCTAACAACCATCCTGTATCTCCAGTTCCGGGGGATCTGACACCCTTTTCTGACTTCCACGGGCATTGCATGACATGAGTGTACTTACATATATGCAGACAATACATTCACACACATAAAATAAAAATATTTTTTCACCTTTACCAGCCTCACAGAGGACCAATTTCTAGTTTATTTAAGGATAACTTTTAAAAAGTAAAATGAATGAACCCAGGTGAGAGTAAGATACATAAACCAACTTAATGTAGAAAAAAGGCTGGAAATAGTTCACAGACCCAGAAAAGCTCACATTGTCAACAGGATTAAGATGCTACTGATTCTCCCCCAAATGTCAAGGTTTTATTTTGCTCAGCCTGAGATCTCGCTCGATTTCAAACTGCCTGTGGTCCACTCAGTCTAGAAAAGCTTTCCGTTCAACATACCCCTCTTTCCCTTGATTATAGGCTTCTTTCTTGCTCTCCACCTTCCTCACTGCTTCCTCCAGATTCTTCCTTGCCATCCTCCTCTTCGTCTTCTAACAAGAGGCCACTTTGTTTTCTCTTTCTTGTGGGAAAGCTCTGGGCCTTCCTCTTTTTCCCTTTGGTTTTCCGTGTCTGCTCTTCACCACCTACTTCATCTTCCTTCACCAATTCATTGACGTCGTCTTCACTATATTCTCCACCCGATGGCACATAGTCCTTGTCCTCCTCCGACGTAGAGAAGTCTTCGGAGTCGAATTCCTCCATGCCGCTGCCTCTTGGGGCCTGCAACCCGCACCAAAAATAAGATATTTTTAAAAAGAATGGGGAGGACATGAACACAGGGGTCATCTGAAGTGGAGAGGACAAGGCCAGGTCAGTGGGAGTTCCAGGAGGGAGTGATCTGGGTGGCATCCTTCATGTAGGGGGCTGGTTCACCTTATCTCCTGCCCAGTGGGTTGGGGCATCAGATCCAGTTGCAAGCACTTTGTGGCTGAAAGGGGAGCCCACTCTCACTGATGCAGCAACCACCTGCCTCCTGCTGTCTTGCCAGTAATATGAGCCCAAGGAGGGAACCATGGGGTGTACTGAGTCCCCACCCCATTCTCCAGAAATCCTCTAGCTGGAAATAGCCTTACAGTGGAGTGGATACAGGTAAGAGCAGACTGGGATTCAGGAAGTCTAGAGGTGGGGGTGAGCAGGAGGGGCCTTGGAAAGGGTCTGTCTCATCAGTGGGATAGGGTGCTATTCCAGGCAGTGGCCAAAGAAACAAGAGATATATCCAGACTTGCTGTCACCCCAGGCTACCTTTTCTACAGGTGTACCAGCACTTACTGCCCCATGACCCTGGCTCCTGTGCTCTGGGGAGGGACTCTGGAGACCAGCTCTGGCCCAGACAGTCACATATGTGGGCAGGGCTGGTCTGTGGCTTCTGCTGTTATCCAGTTGGCTCCCTTACACTCACTCTAGGATGCTGCAGCCTGAGGGTCTCCAAGCCTTGGAGGAAGCCTTGGAGGAAGGGACAGCCCTCACAACCCCACGGAATGACTGCATCATCTGCTACTCTGCCTATGACCTCTCAACGCACCTGCCCCGCCGCCTCTATTGTGGCCACACCTTCTGCCAGGCATGCATGCGTCGACTAGACACTCCAGCCCATGAACAGCACTGGATCCCCTGTCCACAGTGCCGTCAAAGTACCCCTATGCCCCGCGGAGGGGTGGCCATGCTGGACTTGGACCTGGCTGCCTTCTTGGCAGTCAAGGCTGAACGGGAACCATCAAGAATGGAGCCCCAGTCCCCTGCCCCCCTCAAAGGCAGCACTATCACTCAGCAGCCAGCTGGACTCTACCCCATCTTGGGCCCCCAGCCCCACTTTCCTCAGCCCAGACGCTGCTGCTGGGGCTGGGGAAGACTGTGCTGGTACCCCCCTGGGAGCCCTGAGGTTTAAGTTCTAGCCATCCCCATCCCTGCATGGGAAATTGCTGTTAGCAGGGCACTGTAAGGTCCCGCATGACCTGACATGATGGTAGCACCCCAACCAGTGATACCTCAGGCCATAGCCTAAGGTCAGCATCAATGGGCATATTGCTGTAAGGCTCCACAGCAGGCTGGTGATCTACTACACTGGTCTAGAGTCCCACATCCCAAACTAACCTGACTTTGCATGGCTAGCCAATATGCTGCTGTCACCTGCAAATTCAGGGCTCAGAGAATGGCTCCTTAGAGTCTCTGGAGGCCAGTGCAGGGGCCTGGGCTTTGAGCCAAAGACGTAGGGCCAGGCCATAGCTGTTCTTAAGTGTCTGGCCCCAGAGCAAGTCTTTCTCTTCTGTAAATATCCAGGGGGTGTGAGCCAGGAGGGAGGGCAGGCTACCTCCTTCATCCCTGACCTCTATCCCTGGTGTCTGATGTGTTTAATCTACTCAACAATGGTCACTGAGCTCCTACCATGTGTCACACTGTTCGAGGAGGGTCTGCTATGGCACAGAGCCATCTCTTTGACAGGCATCAAAGCGGAGTGCAATGGGAGGGCCATCTCTGAGGAGGGGATCTACCTGAGGTCTCACAGCTCATTTGAGCTTACCTCAGACTCCCAACCTCCTTCTTCCTCTGGTGACCATGACATAAAGCCCTTTCAGCAAGTACCTGAAGCTATAGACACTGACAAGCCCCCAGGTGAGGACTGTAACACCAGCACCCCTGTAGGAATGAGCTGTAGTTGGAGCCCCTAGGAGGTCACCTCTGGGCAGTGGACAGGGAGCAGGATGAGAGGGAGAGAAGTTGCTGAATAGACGCTGAGAAGCCTCCTTCCCTGGGCAAAGTCCCCCGAGTACCCTGGGTTGGAGGTGGGCAGTGAGCAGAGCAGGGCATTAGAACCTGCAGGGCCTCTGGGGAAATAACCTGCAGGGGAGGGCTTAGCTCCCATCTCAGGAGCTGCAGGGGAACTGACCTCAAGAAAGGGTTTTCCACACACATGGAGACAGGCCAGCACTCTACTGGGGAAGAGATGTTCAAATGGGGGTCAAATAGTGGGCACTGTGACATGGGGAAGAGTCCTGTCTTCCTCCCTCCGTCTTTGAAGAGGGAGACTTCATGCCCTAGACCCCCTGTGACCTCCATGGGGAGCCCTGCCAGATCTAGCCCCTCCCAGAACTCAGGCCTGAATACGCAGTGCTGACCTCAGGGCCTGGATGCCTTCCCAGGCCACCTGAGGAAATCTGTTTTCCACGTCCACCTAGTACAAAGGACTTCCCTCTCTCAGGCACAAAGATGACCATGACAAGATTTGCAGAGTTCATAGGAGCATAGAAGTAGGAGGGCAACCTTCTCATGGGGCCCCCAAGCAGCTTCAGCCAGAATGCCAGCATCCTGCCTGGGTAGTATAGAGTGTCCATTAAGTGTACCAGATACCTACTAGTGGATGCAGTATCCAGCCCTGCAGTACCTCTAGCCAGATGTTACCCATTTCTGGGAGAAGTTCCACCCCAAGAGAGTTGATCTGGGGGCTCAGAACTCTTAGCTCTAGGGTGAAAAGGTTCTAAATAAGCCCTTGGGGCCAGGCAGGGTCTCCCTTCAGGGGCCTGAGCTCCTGGGTAAACATTAATGGGGCTCCGCACAAAGCAGATCACATGTGCACCCAACAGATCTTTGACCTGCTGCTGCTCGCATCGCGTCTCCTCCCCACTGGTGCCCCCTCAGCACATCCCAGGTAGGAGCTCCTAGAACCAAGCTGAGCTCAGGGACACTGAGGCCAGAGCTGCATGCTGCAAAGGACCACTGGTCCTGAGCCTAGCACCAGGGAAGGGGTGAGGGTAGACTAGACTCAGAAAGGCAGTTCCAAATCCAGAAGGCCATGGAGGCCAGGGCTGCCAGGAGAGACCTGAGGTAGGAAGGGGACTTCCAAGCCCCTTTCTCGGCTCCTTAGCCTGGGGGTGGGGACTTTATCAAGCAGAGATGTCACTAGTTTGATATCAAATGCCAAAGTCTAAGTCTAGGACCATCTGCAGTGTCCTCACTGACACTTGATAGGCGAGATCCTGGGATTCTCTAGCTAGCAGCTATCTTCAGCCAGCACCCCAGAACCCTGTACCCTCAGTCACCTGCCAAACCTTCTTGCAGCCAAGACCAGCAAGTGAGCCGGGGAGCCAGTGGCCCCTCTCTTCTTCTCCCTGAAACAAGACTGGGCTTGCCTGAGCCACCTGAAGTCACTGTAGCCATCCACCTGTGGTAGAGAGAAGGAAAAGACACCAAGACCTGCAGGGGGTAGGGGGTGTGGGGGCAGTAACTGAGGTCCAGGTCAGGGGCTGCAATTCAGCCTGCTTGGCAGGGTGGGGGTGGAGTTGGGGAAGACCTGCACCCAGCAGATCTAGGGTTAGGCCTTGGTCTCTCTGCTTGAAATCCATGCCGAATTCCCTTAATGGTGGCCAGGTCCCCCACCCTACTCTGGATACAGTTGACCTGGTGGACTGGAGTCTGAGAAATGCAGGTACCGGAAGCCCCAGAGCTCCTACCTCTTGACAGCTGTCTTGGGCAAGAGGAGAGGGCTTCTCTAGCTTGCCTCCTGAAAAGCCCCTGGGTCTTCTTACACCTCTGGCTTGAACCACACATATTGGAACCCTTGTTCTCCCTCCCTGCTTCTGTCCCTAACCTGTAGCTCCATATGCTCCAGCTCCTCCTATCTCTTGCTCCCTTTTGACCCCCTCCTTGGGGGTTCTAGAAAGAGTCTTACCTGACTCAATTCCTCCAGGGACCTCCAATTCTCTCCCAGGCTTAGAGGAGGGAGACACAGACCCCCCGGCCTTCCCTCAGCTGAAGGACACTGGCCAGGCAAAAGGTAGATCTGGGGGTGGTGAGGCACCATTCAATCAGGCCCCTGACACCCCAGTTCCCAGCAGAGTACAAGCTAGGGCTTTGCCAGAATAGAACTCATGAAAAGAAAACCCATCTAGCAAGGCACTGACTTGCTTGGGATGGAATGAAAATAGCCCCACAACCAACTACTCAACCTCCTTTCACACTCTGCTGATGGCTTCAATTCTGGGAGCTCCAGGGTTATGGGCTTAGTCACATGACAAAGGAACAAGGGAAGACAGAGGAGGGGACACACCCTGCCCTGGGGAGAACATGAGAAGGACATGGGTTCCTGCCCAGTGGGACAGAAAGGAGATCCTGGGCTCTGCCTGAGAGGTGACATGAGAAATGGGCCCTGACCTTGGGGAGCAGAGGGGGGCAGTTGGGCAGGATAGTGGGTTAGCTGAAGATAGCCCTGCCTGGTGTCCTCAGATGTCAGCGTGGACAGCAGGCTTCGCCTGGTGGTCATCGGCTTCCTCAAGGCCTGTGGACTCCTGGGAAGCCTCTACTTCTTCATCTGCTCCCTGGACATCCTCAGCTCTGCCTTCCAGCTACTAGGCAGTGAGTGACCAGATGGGCAACTAGGGTGGGGTGGGAAGCCAGCTCTCTACAGGCTCACTGCACCTCTCTTTTGGACATAGGCAAAATGGCTGGAGACATTTTTAAGGACAATATGGTGCTGTCCAACCCCGTGGCGGGCCTGGTCATTGGCGTGCTGGTCACAGTCCTTGTGCAGAGCTCCAGCACATCTTCCTCCATTGTGGTCAGCATGGTAGCCTCCAAATGTGAGTACACCTCTCTTCCGCAGGGCAGTGGTGGGGGTGGGGTGGACAGACAGGGCTGTTGAAGTGGCACCCCCACAGTGCTGACCGTCCAGGCCTCTGTGCCCATCATCATGGGCGTCAACGTGGGCACGTCCATCACCAGCACCCTGGTCTCAATGGCGCAGTCAGGGGACCGTGATGAGTTCCAGAGGTGAGTCAGGGCTGAAGGGCCAGGCTGAATTCTGCATCTGCCTCAGTGAAGGCTGCTCAGCCTGCCTGCCTACCCTGCATGACTACAGGGCTTTCAGCGGCTCAGCTGTGCATGGCATCTTCAACTGGCTCACAGTGTTGGTCTTGCTGCCACTGGAGAGCGCCACAGCTGCACTGGAAAGGCTGAGCAAACTGGCCCTGGGCGCTGCCAGCCTACAGCCAGGCAGGCAGTCTCCTGACATCCTCAAAGCGGTGACACAGCCTTTCACACACCTCATCATCCAGGTAGGGACAGCTGAGTCCTAGGGGGGCACCTGTGCCTGGCTGATGAGCAGGAGGCAGAAACTTTGTCCTGGATGGGGACAGAAGAGGGTTTAGGCCTGTCATGGGATGAGCGCTGAGTGCCAGACACATAGTCATGCCCCCTCTCTCTACCAGCTGGATAGCAGTGTGATCACCAGCAGTGCTACTGGAAACACTACCAACAGCAGCCTGATTAAGCGGTGGTGCAGCACCAGGGTGAAGATGGTAAGGTGCCTCTCACCCCAGTCCCTCCCTTGTTTGACCTCTGACCTGCTGACTCATCCACTTGACCCTTGGGTCCTCTGACTCCTGTTTGCCTGCTCTGGTCTGTTCTGAGTCCTCCCTACCCCTCAGTCCCAAGGGAACAGTGAGGAATGTGGCATCTTCACTCCCTGCACTGAGAGGAATAGCACAGCCATCTCGGAGGAGGAAAAACTGCCCTGTGAGCTCCCCAACACCAGTCCTATCCCCTGCCCTGCTCACTGCTCTGAGCTGCCCCTCCACCCACCCACCCACCCCCCTGCTCTGCCACAGGCCACCACCTGTTTGTGGGCTCAGGGCTCACAGACTTGGCTGTGGGCTTCATCCTGCTGGCGGGCTCTCTGTTGGTGCTCTGTGCCTGCCTGGTTCTCATCGTGAAGCTGCTCAACTCTGTGCTGCAGGGGCGCATTGCACAGGCTGTGAGGGCTGTCATCAATGCAGGTCTGAGGGGGCCCTGGACCTGGGATGGAGGGCAAACCAGGGATTTAAGAGTGATCTAGCTCCCCGCCTACACATACCTACAGATTTCCCCTTCCCCTTTGGCTGGCTCAGCGGCTACCTGGCCATCCTTGTGGGTGCCGGCCTGACCTTCCTGCTACAGAGCAGCAGTGTCTTCACAGCAGCTGTAGTGCCGCTTATGGGTGAGCCCAGGTGGGCGGCGCACCTGGGGTTGTGGAGCTGAACTGGGGCTCTGTGTTGACCTTTCACTCCCCCAGGGGTTGGAGTCATCAGTTTGGAACGGGCCTATCCCCTCTTTCTGGGCTCCAACATTGGCACCACAACTACAGCCCTGCTGGCTGCCCTGGCCAGCCCTGCGGACATGTTGCTTTTTGCTGTCCAGGTACTGCCCTCAGCCCCTTCCCTGTTTCCAGCAGAGACAAGGCTAGCTGCAGCCCTAGTTCTCCCTGGACACTTTGACTCTAGCCACAGGCCTCTCAGACCCTGGCAGCTGTATATGTGTGTGTGTGTGTGTGTGTGTGTGTGTGTGTGTGTGTGTGTGTGTGTAACCCTGTGGGTACCTCATAGCCCCAGCCTCTTCCTTTCCAAGAATGACTTGGGACCATCTCATGCCCTCTACCCCTCTCTCTTTGGCAATACCCTGTGTCCACTGAAGAACCCCTCCTTAATTCCTTCTCAATGTGACCTTTTGGTCTCCGAGCCTACATTTCCAATGCAACTATTCTCAAATCTCTGTTTTGTCTCCCCCCAACCCTGAATTTCCCAGCTCTGTATCCCATTCTGAGTCCTATTGGGCTCCAACGCTCTAAGGCACTTGGGCTTTGGTCTACTGCCCTGGTTTGAGCTTCTCTGCCCAAAAGGCACAAGCTGCTGCCCCCAGGAAAAGATGAACCCAATCCTGCATGCCTCCTACCTGCATCCTTACCTCTGTCCTGTGTCTGTCACACAGATCCTACCAATGCAGGGCCCTGCACCACCCTTTCCAAGTCTGGATTGTGCCCACTCCTGGATAGACCATGTGTTCCCTGAACATGTACCTTGCCCCCCATATACATACATTGTCCCCGACAGCACCATGGATATATTACCACACAAGGGTATTGGACCAGGCCCCTACATCCTAAAATGTGAGGGAGGGTTGTGTGGTGAGATGTGCCTACCCTGGCTGGAATCTGCCATCTGAGGCGGTCCATCTCAGCCACTGATCAAGATAAAACAGAAAAGCTTCAGACTTGGACAGAGTAGGGAAAGGCAGGGGTTCTAAGGAATTCCAGATGACCATATCATCTGGTCCAAGCTCCTAACCCCTTCCTGTCCTCCTGGACAATCAGGTTGCTCTCATCCACTTCTTCTTCAACCTGGCTGGCATACTGCTGTGGTACCTGGTGCCTGTCCTGCGGCTGCCCATTCCACTGGCCAAGAGCTTTGGGGAGCTGACGGCTCAGTATCCCTGGGTGGCCATTGTCTACCTACTACTTACCTTCCTACTGCTGCCCCTATCAGCCTTTGGGCTCTCCCTGGTGGGGGGCCCAGTGCTGGCTGCTGTTGGGGGTCCCCTTGTGGGACTGGTGCTCCTCATCATCCTGGTTAATGTCCTGCAAAGGCACCGGCCATCCTGGCTGCCCCGCTGTCTGCGATCCTGGTCCTGGCTGCCTCTCTGGCTCCATTCTCTGAAGCCCTGGGACCACTTGGTGACCAGCTGTTGCCCCTGCAGGGCTTGCAGCAACCCCCAGGCAACCACCAAAGAGGCTCATTGCCATGATAACCCTGAAGTCCTAGCGTCACAGCAGTTGTGAAGAGTGGATGCATAGCCCAGCTCTACAGGCTTCTGGGCTTTGGACACTTGGAAAGCTGGCATACCAGTTGTCCTGGGAAGTGGAGGGGAGGAGAGAGGGACTCAGTCTCTTGAATCCCCTTGTTTGCAAATAAATAAGGCTATAACCCAGGAGTGGCCTTTTCACCCAGACCTAGCTGCCTGGGGAGGAACTAGGCTCAAAACTGAGCAGTGGTGGAGGAAAAATGCCATGCTGCCCCTAGCGGAAACTCGACCTTAGGGGGCCCCAGGGCTGCTGTTTGTTTACCTCTACTGTGGCTGGTGACAGCTGGTCGGTCTGCAAGAGGACTTCTGGCTAGGAGTGCCTGGGAGGGTTTGGTAGAGCAGAGCTTCTCCCTGCAGAAGATCCTAGAGAGTGCCGCTGCAGGTCGCGACCCTCGTTGCCCCAGACCCTAGCCGCACAAAAGTGCTAGGCGGGATGGTGGGGATGGGGGCTTGAGTTCCCCAGGGCAGGTTGCCTATGAGATTCACTTTCTGCCTCCCACACTTGGAGAAGACCTGATTGCCCTGACCGCCAGGGGCCGCCCTTCCTCCCACGGAGATGTGTGGCTGGCAAACAGCCAGAAGCATGCCCTGCCCGCTATGTCCCGAGTGCCCCACCTCCACCACCTCCTTTGGGTGCCCAGAGTTGTCCAGGAAGCAAGCCAGGACTTGCCCATCCAGGTGAGAGGCCATGAGACCTAGACACCATTTCTCTCACCTGGGTGCCTGGGACAGCAGATGGGGCTGGGAGAGGAGGCAACCCTGTTGGGAACTCCTGCCCTCCTCCCCTGTGCCTCCGGTGGGGAGGTCTGGTTTCCACACAGGAAGGCTTATTCTGCAGCCAACAGGTAACTGGACACCAGAGAAGAGACAGGGGCCTCTAACCACTTCCTCCTGCTCAGGGCTGCCCATAACCCCAACCCCAATCCCACCCCTCCCATACCACCAAGGAAAGAAAGGGTCAGGTAACCCAGAACTCAAGACACTGGGTCACAGCAGTCAGACCTACAGGGGAGCTGACCCTGCACAGGGTCACCTTTTGGTCTGTCCATTACAGCTCTCAGGCTTCTCCAGCCTTTTGACACTGCAGCACCAGGATGTCATCTACAAAGTTCCTGATCCAGAACTGCATAATTGAGTTACAAAAAAAAAAAAAAAAAAAAAAAAAAAAAAAAAAAACCCAAACACCAAAACAACCCTTAATGTTTTAAGTTTACAATTTTAAGTTTAGCTGCATTTGACCACATGCAGCCCCCAGGCCAGACACACCTATGTGAATCTGCTTGGCTTAGAACCTTTCTTCCCAGCTTCCCCCTACTTCCCTTACAGGTCTGTTGAGTCAAAGGATATGGCCCCATCAGGAAGATAAAGTCTAAGAAAGCCCCTACGGCCATTCAGTTTTTGCCCATCCTATCCTTGTATTATCAGATTCCCTTAGCTATGCCCTTTCTGTCCTCAGAATATCCTAGGTCCTCTTTTATCTTTAGCCTTCAGTGTCACCTAGGTCCTGTGCCATCCCCTTCCCCCTCCAAGGCTTCCCAGGCCTGGAATTCACCCTGCCCACCAAGGGAAGTCACTGCCTCTCTGGGAGCCAAAGACTTGCAGGGTCGAGCTCCAGTAAGGACAGAGTAAAGCCTGGGCACTGCAGCCTTAGTTCAGCCACTCTTGTCATTGTAGGGTGCTCCAGGCCAGGCTGTTTCCTTGGACGACCCACTAGGGAAGGCCGTGAGGCCTAGTCTAGAGGGGGAAGCACCTTGGCTCCTCTCCTTCCGGGGTGGAGAAGGCTTTCCACAAAAGCTGACTGCTGGGTCCTTTAAGGCTGCAAAGACTGTCTGCCTGATGCCCCTGCCTGGCAGTAATGCACCCTCCCACTGGGACCATGGCCACCAGTAAACAGAGCCTTCCTTGTGGAGCCTCCAGCAGCTGCAGACTGGGGAGGGAGGGCAGGCACCCAATGCTCCCTCGGCCCCTTCTGCCTTGCTTCCCTGCTTTTCTGGTCTGCTCTGTGTAAATCATCCCTGGTCATAGGCTCCAGGTCATCTTGTCCTACACTACCTGTCTCTCCCCATTGGCACAGGGGCACCGTTAGTTCACGGTGAGGACCTGCAGTGCCTCTCTCCCCACCAGCTCTGGGCGGCCACTGTCCTTGGTGTGGACTCATGTTCAAGAGTCACAGTCTTGCCGTTCATCCACCATCCACCTCTATTGCCCACCTCACAAGGGTAACAGGAAGGGAAAGACAGCCTGGTGCCAGGGAAAGTATAGGCAACACAAGCTGTATTTTGTAACCTGTAAAATGAGGGTGTCACACTGACCTCCCAGCCCTGCTGGCACTGGTCAGCAGCGTGGGGCTTTTCCCAATGTGGGTAGACCCACGGATTCCAAGTAGGATGGCTTTAATATGGTACAAGGATGCTGAGGACCCAAACACCTCTGAAAGCAGTCCTGGCAGGACCTCCTTTGTTCATTGTATTAAAACTCAGAATTTCTGCTTCCTTCACAGATTTGTGACAATACACTGCCTAAAAGATTTACGTGCCCAAGTTTACTGCTTGACAGCTAAGCATGGCCAAGTCAACTTGGGATAGATTCTCTGGGCATTGAGATGACCCGATGCCAACAAGGGACCTGGTGCACCTCACTGATGGAGGACTCCAGCCCTTCTGAGGCATGGTCCTGTCAGAGTGGTCAACAAGACTCAAGCCACCCCTTCCTCAACTACTCTATGGGGGAAGACAGCAGAGCAGAGGTCCTCAAGGCCCTGCTAAGACTGGTACTCTGGTCAGTATGGTAGACATGAGCAGGGGACTACACCCTACACATGCCCAGACATACAGCCACACACTACTGTTTAGAGTTTATGATTCTGCTCCTTCTGATGATTTTTCCTTGTGACCACTTTGGCTGCTAGATACAACACTGTGGTACTACTGCCTGTTACATGGTGAGGAAGGGGAGGCCCTTCCTCCAGAAGTAAATCAGGAGGGCTTGGCCCAATTCCTTGGTTGGGACAGACATCTCAGTGTAACATTCCTTAAAAAATGTTATTCTGGCCAGGCATGGTGGCACACCCCTTTAGTCCCACGACTTGGTAGGCAGAGGCAGGCGGATCTCTGTGAGTTCACATGCCTATAAGTGCATGCATGTGTGTGTGTATGTGGTGTGTACCTATGTATGTGAGTGTGCCTCAGACATTTCCTTGGGGTCTTGAAACCTGTCAGATAAGGGGACACTATTGTATTTAATTCCCAGAAAACCCAAATAACACAGATCACTACTAGGTTTCTCAGTGGCCATGCATCCCAAAATGGCACCATCAAGTTTTTGGAGAACAAAAATCCATCATTCATCATGGTAGCCCTTGGTTCTGTGTGGTGACTGCGTGCTTGAATGTGGCTAGTGCACTAGAGAAACCAAATGCTCTCATTTCATTTCACGAAAATTGTTTTAAACTTAAATAACCGTGTATGGCTGGGGGCTACTAGTCGCAGTGAGCTCCCATCCACTGTGGTGCTCCAGATTTAGAGACCCACCACAGTGAATTCATGGAATTCTGAAAGCAGATGGGCTGATTTAGACTTCCTAGTTCATTCAGCTGGGCACGGTGGCACATGCCTTTAGTCCCAGCATTTTGTAGGTAAAGGCGAGCACCTAGATAGATCTCAGGCCAGCCTGGTCTACCTAGTGAGTTCCAAGCCAGCTGGGGCTACAGGGAGACGTGTCTCAAAAAGACAAAAAAAAAAAAAATGTTATTCTGGGAGACTGGAGAGATGGCTTAATGGTTAAGAGCACTGGCTGTTCTTGCAGAGGATCTGGGTTCGACTCCTAGGGCCCACATGGTGGCTAACAACCATCTCTGACTCCAGTTCTAGGGGATCTGATGCTGTCTTCTGACCTCCGAGGGCACTGCAGTACACTCATACTCAAAATATTTTTTTTAAAAAATTAAAATGTTATTCTAAGCACTTGGTAGAGGCAGGTAGAGTTCTGTGAGATGGAGGCCAGCCTGGTTGACATAGCCAGTTCTAGGCCAGTTGGGGCTACAAAGGAGACCCTATCTCAAAAAGATTTTTTAAAAAATTATTTTGTACATTCTGTGTAGGCTCAGGCAGGATTTCCTTGAGTTCAAGGCCAGCCTGAATTCCAGGTTCCAGACCAGAGGCCCGGTCTAGAATATACATATATATATATATAAAATATATATAATAAAATATTCATAAAGTATATATTCATATTTATGAAACAAAATATACATACTACAAAACTATGTAAATGTATTGTTTTCTAAGCAAGCCATTACAGGGCAGGCACATATTTTAACCTCTATACTTTTTCCTCTCCAGTCACGGCCAGGCATGTCCAGCCCTGCCGTCTCCAAGGAGGTTTGCGTGCTCTTGGGGCTCCAGCTCCAAGGCGACCAGCGCCAGGCCGGTTGGTTTCCACAACACAAGGGACGGCACAGGGGCAGGGGCGGGGTCGCCAGCTCCCCCGCCCGTCTTGTGCGTCTCAGAAGGGCGCAGCGCCGCCGCCCGAGACTACTTTTCTTGTTATTTATCGCTTGGAAGCCCTCAGGTGTGTCCGGCACCGCCGCGCTTCAGGCTCGTACTGGTCCCGGGCAACCGCCCACGGTACCCCGAAAGACGCCGAGCCCACCCAGGGCTGGTAGGCCGACCCCTCGCCCCCGCCCTCTCACCCCGGTCCCCAGCCGGAAGCCCGCGCCCCGCGTCCCGCCCGCGCGCTGCACTGCGGCGGTTACCAGGACGCCAACCCAACGCAGCCAATAGTGTCAGGTTATCGGCGTGCTCCCAGGAGGTAGCCAATGGGAGTGCAAATCAATCATTTGAAACACCCAATGGACTGAGCACTGCGGCGCCAGGGCGGGGATTGTCATAGGGCGCACCACTGCCAGGACTGACCAATAATGAGCGTGTATTGTGGGGAAGGCGGGCTCTAGGCCGGGCGATTGACGGGGATACAGCCAATCAAACAAGGGTTCTTCCTGGTCTCGTTCTGAGTGCCCAATCCCGCGCCGGCGGAGGCGGGCCACGAGGGGTATATAAGCACCGCGGAGCGTCGGTTGTAGCACTCTGCGCTCCCGCTCGTCCGCGTCTGCTTCAGATCTGCAGCCTCTCCGCAGTCGCCACCGCCATGAGGGAGATCGTGCACCTGCAGGCTGGGCAGTGCGGCAACCAGATTGGCGCCAAGGTAGGCGGCCAGGGCGTCGCGGGTCGGATGCCGGCGGGCCGGGTGGGACAAGCAACCGGGGAAGATGGCGGCAGAGGTCGGTGGCGGTGCCCCGCATTGCGGGCCGGGTGCGGGCGCACGCTGGACGAAGACGTGGAACCTGAGTGGCCGGCGGGGGTGGACGGTGTGGAGTACTCCAGGGCGGTTCACCCGGGCGCCCGCCGCGGGGGAGGGAAGGGCTTACCGCGCCCATCCGGGGCGGGGCCGCCTTAGGGCGCACCGGCCGCCGTGACTCAGCTGACGCCCGCCTCCCTTTGCAGTTCTGGGAGGTGATCAGCGACGAGCATGGCATTGATCCCACTGGCACGTACCACGGGGATAGCGACCTCCAGCTGGAGCGCATCAACGTGTACTACAACGAGGCCACCGGTAAGACCCCTCTCCCCGGCTCATCCCTCTCGGCGACCCCCGCAGGCTTATTCATACTGACGTCCTCCTGTCCCACTAGGTGGCAAGTATGTGCCCCGCGCCGTGCTCGTGGACCTGGAGCCTGGCACCATGGACTCTGTGCGCTCCGGGCCCTTTGGGCAGATTTTCAGGCCAGATAACTTCGTTTTCGGTGAGTGCGGGTGGGGGCTGGGCGGGGCTTATTCGCTGGTGTGGCTCAAAGGTCAAGGGGCCAACCCGACCCAAGGTCGCCTCTGCTGAATCGCCGGGTTAGACACCTTCCTGCCCTCTTGAGTCTCTCAATCCCTTGACCTAAGGCAGCTTTGGGAGGAAGGCCCAGCTAGCTCCCCTCGGGGAAGGAGCTGGTAGATGTAATCTCCCTGCAGTGCCAGCAGACTTGGTTGCAGGGGCTGCAGGGCTGTCAGGCTGCCCTTGAATATTGGCAGGTGTGCCTTGGGAAGTTTTTCCAAGCCGTCCCAACTCCCTGGTTTTTTAATATGGTACATAACAGGTTGTTGTGGTATCATTTCCGGGTCTACTATCCGCCCTTGGGGTGGGGGGGGGCACCTCAAGGCATGTGACTGTGCGCAGGTGTTTGGAGACCATCTACCTAATTAGTAACCAGCTGTGTTCTCTTACAGGTCAGAGTGGGGCTGGGAACAACTGGGCCAAGGGGCACTACACAGAAGGTGCAGAGCTGGTCGACTCAGTGCTGGACGTTGTGAGGAAAGAGGCTGAGAGCTGTGACTGCCTGCAGGGCTTCCAGCTGACCCACTCCCTGGGTGGGGGGACTGGGTCTGGGATGGGTACCCTCCTCATCAGCAAGATCCGGGAGGAGTACCCAGACAGAATCATGAATACCTTCAGCGTGGTACCCTCCCCCAAGGTGTCGGACACAGTGGTTGAGCCCTACAATGCCACCCTTTCAGTCCACCAGCTTGTTGAAAACACAGATGAGACCTATTGCATTGATAATGAAGCTCTCTATGACATCTGCTTCAGAACCCTAAAGCTGACCACACCCACTTATGGTGACCTGAATCACCTCGTGTCCGCCACCATGAGTGGGGTAACCACCTGCCTGCGATTCCCTGGCCAGCTAAATGCTGACCTTCGGAAGCTGGCTGTGAATATGGTGCCCTTCCCCCGCCTGCACTTCTTCATGCCTGGGTTTGCCCCCTTGACCAGCCGGGGCAGCCAGCAGTACCGTGCTCTGACAGTGCCTGAGCTCACCCAGCAGATGTTTGACGCCAAGAACATGATGGCTGCCTGCGACCCCCGCCACGGGCGCTACTTGACGGTGGCTGCCGTGTTCAGGGGTCGCATGTCCATGAAGGAGGTGGATGAACAGATGCTTAACGTCCAAAACAAGAACAGCAGCTACTTTGTTGAGTGGATCCCCAACAATGTGAAAACGGCTGTCTGCGACATTCCACCCCGGGGGCTGAAAATGTCTGCCACCTTCATCGGCAACAGCACAGCCATCCAGGAGCTGTTCAAACGCATCTCCGAGCAGTTCACAGCCATGTTCCGGCGTAAGGCTTTCCTGCACTGGTACACGGGTGAGGGCATGGACGAGATGGAGTTCACTGAGGCTGAGAGCAACATGAATGACCTGGTATCTGAGTACCAGCAGTACCAGGATGCCACAGCTGAGGAGGAGGGAGAGTTTGAGGAGGAGGCTGAGGAGGAGGTGGCCTAGAGCTGTCTTAGCAGCTAAAGCATGATATCAGTGTGAACTCTTTATTTACTCACAGCCATGTCCACTGTGCACTTGCTGTCTGTCTCAACATCACTTGTACAGATTCCACCATTAAAGCAGTTTCATAGTGTGTGGCTTCGCCTCTCCAGTTCCTTCTTATAGGCTTTTCGGGTGCTGTTACCAAATGTCAGTGCATAGTTGTCCTGCATGGCTGCAAGGGAGGAATGTCAGCTGAGTTCCTGGGATTAGCACAAACTGGAGAGGTCAGTGTAGGCTGTGAACAGCGGCTTCTGAAGAGCTTGTGGTTTCCCTGGGGCCCCCTGGAACCAGACAGGCATGGGATAAGCCTGTTGGCTTTAGAAATTTACTAGGGGAAGGGCTGGTAAGGTTGGTAGTTAATCCCACATCAGACTGGGATTTTGGACAGTGGGCTGACAGTTGATAATTCATAAATCCATGGGTGGATAACATTCCCAGCCAGTTGACCCTCACCTCATTGTAACCTTGTCCTGAAATGGGCATGGCTCCCTGGCTGGGAGCAGTACTCACATGGGATGAAGCCCATGTAGAAAGGAATCAGACCTTGGCTTCTGTAGATGGTGGTGTTTGGCCAGTGGGTCCTGGGCAGCCTTTCACCAAGGGCAGAGACTGGGTTTCTGAATGTGAACTGGGGAAATGGGCAGGACTGAATAAGTGCTGTGCTGCCCACTCCCTCTTGGTGACCCAAGTTCTGACCTCCAGGATGTTGTGGGTCTCTAGCCTACCCCTACTAGGGCAGGGAGTCTTACCTTGTTAGGATTTGGATATTTGGGTAGGTCCCTTATAGATGCCCCTTTGAGGCCGTAGTGGGAGAGGACCACAGGCAGGCCTAGGCTAGTTTGGGAAACATGGGGGCAGGCTAGGACTGTTCCTACCTGGTTCTTGTCAAACTCATCCATAGCTTGTGTGATTCCATCATGGTAATTCATCCCCATTACCCAGGCAAACCGGGGGACAAAGCCAGCATAACCTGGAAATAGGCCAGTGTCAAAATTTACCCCATGTTGCCCTGGCCTTTCTCGGGGTGTATCTACCTCCAAAGTATGTGAAAAAAGCTGTTTAAACCCCTTAAATTCCTAAACATCGGTTGCTGCCTCTTGGGGCCAAACAGGTACAAGGCTGCTCCAACTGGTATGAGGCATAGCACAATAGGTCACAAGTCACACCTGGTCCCAGTAGAGAGGGCTCAGGTGGCAAACCTGCCTGGACTCCTAGCGGCACCTCAAGCCTGCAGCACCTACCTGAGATAGCCTTGCGTTGGATTAGGTTGGGGTGGTCTAGCCGGGGCAGCCGCTGGAACCTGTCCACGTCTAGTGTCTCCTGTTGGGGATGTGGAGGCAAGTACTCATCCCTCCTGCAGTGGCATAGCTGTAAACCGGAAGAACAGATCACCAGGGAGCTTTCACCCTGGGTTAGTGGGTGACCCCGTGCTAGGGCCTCTCTGGTTACCTGGGGCCTCCCTGGAGTCTCAAGAACAGGGGCAGCATTCTTCCAGGCCTCTTCCCCATATGCCAGTAGTAAACCCGGATGTCCCAAGTCTCTGGCATCCTTTCTTCCCGGAGGGCATGGTGGATAAGGGGGGTAAGGCATGAAGCCCGCAGGCTGTGGAACCTGTCTGGTTAGGTTCTCCACGTGTGGCGGCCCCTGAGTCTCCACCTCCTGGTGTGGGAGCTGGCCCATGATCTCAAAGTTCTTGTAAGGTTTCAGACCTGTACAGACAGGGTAGCCCATGAGCCACGTGGGAGCCTAGTGGGGGCAGAACTGGGTGGGATCTGGCCCTGCAGCTCACTGGTATAGTGGGGGATATAGGGTTCAGTCAGGTCCCTGCAGAGCATCCGTGGTGGCTTGGACTTGAAGTCCTCAATGAACTTGGGCTTGGACATAGGGGACAGAACAGAGCAGGGGCTCTTCTGTACACTGGGATCAGTGAGCAACTGTGCTGTAGTGCGGCCGTAGGTGTTCCCCACTTGGTAGCGCAGCTGAGGATAGAAGCCAGCATAGCTGTGGAGAGAAAGGGAGGGAGGAGAAGCAGTCCAGTCTGCCTGTCATTTAGCAGCTATGGGACCATGGTAAGTCAATCACCTGTCCTCTGTTCATCTTGAAGGTAATGGAAGCACCTGCTTTCTGGGGCTCTTAGGGCTTAAGGTGGCATGTGCAAGGTCTGGAGGGAGCTTTACTATTGTCACTCCAGTCAGATAGTTCTCTACACCGTACCTAGCCACCCTCATGCTTTCATCCGTCTTTCTCCTATTTTATGTGCACTCCTTTGTTGCACATGGGTCTATGTAGGTGTGCACACACACTCCTTGGAGGACTTTTTTCAGTGCTGGAGATCAGACTCAGCTTTGTACATGCATATTAGGCTACCACTAGGCCATTCCCTGCTTGTTTTTGTTTGTTTGCTTTTAACTCCCCCAGGCTTATCTCCAAGGATAAGGTCCAACATTTGCTTAGCCAGTCTCTGCCAGCTGTTTGGCTGCCCTCGCTTCTGCTCTTGATAGACATGCTGGCCATCTGGTATGGCATTCAGGCTGAAGCCAGCAGGGAGGGCGAGGCCTAGGCCCTCCACGGCAGCTCCACCCCAGAGCTTTCCTGTCCCAGAGCTCTTCAACTCTGGCAGCCTTCATTCTGCTCCTTGGTGACCCTGGTTTTCAGCCTCTTCAGGATGGCTCTCAACCTCCTCAGATCCAGTTTAAACCCCGGTCTTGGGACTGGAGAGATGGTTCAATGCTCAGTTGAGAGTACTGGCTGCTCTTGCAGAGGACCTGGGTTTGCTTCCCAGCACCCACATTGGCAGCTAACAACTGTCCATAACTCCAGTTCCAGGGATCTGACGCCCTCTTTTGACCTCCGCAGGCATTGCACAACACTAGTGCACTTAACATGCAGGCAATAATGCGCTCATACACAAAAATAAAAATATTTTTAAAAATAAATATTTATACTTAAAATAATAAATAAAATATTCCATCCCTCACCCCTAACCCCAGCCTCCCTACAGAGCTCCCAGTTCTTACCCAGGGATATAATGAGGCTCTGGCGTGAAGAAGTTGTGTTTGTGAGTAGTTGTCATTTCCCTTGACTCTGCCCTTACTGACTCAGCTCCTTTTGTGTCCAGCTTCCTTCCCTGAGAAGAGTCCTGTTGCTTGGTAACCATTGTGAAGGGGCCAGCATTGTGAACCAGGCCACTTTTTAACCCTGTGAGTATCCCCATCTCACAGCAAATCTGGTTCAAGCACCATCCAGGTGGTAAGCTGGGACAGTGTCTCTAAGGCAGGGTGTCTCAGAAGGAAGCCTCACCAACCCAGAGTTCAGGAACCAGGGACGGGAAGGGCTTTGGACTCTCACTGTCCCCAGAGGCCAAGATCTAGGAGAAAAGCAGTCCCTACCTCAGGGTGAGGCTCTTTACCCTAGTCCCCCTCAACTGATGAGGTCAGCACTGAGTTAAGCTTCCCAGATGGACAGCTGTGTGGACTCTCCAAGCAGGCCTGTTCACCTGGAGCAACATATTATTTTCCATATTTAACAAAGACTCGTTTTGTTTCTTAGAGAAAAATTTCTTTGAGGCTGTTGAGATGGCTCGGAGGTAAGTCACTTGCTACCAACTTGAGTTCAATCCCAGGAGCCCACATGGTAGAGGAGAGAACTGACTCCTGAAAAAGTTATCTTCTGACTTCCAAATGCATGCTATGGCATGCATGTGCCCCCACACATGTAACACATGCACAGAATACATAAACATGACTGTGTTAAAACACCATTTATTTTTCAGTCTTTTTCTTTTTCGGTGTTTTTGAGACAGGGTCTCCCTATAGCCTCAGCTGTCCTGAAGCTCCTTATGTAGACCAGGCTGGCCTTGAACTCACAGAGATCCGCCTGCCTCTGCTTCCCGAGTGCTGGGATTAAAGGGGTGTGCCCGGCCAAAACACCATTTTTTCAAAAAAAAAAATATTTTATTGAGCCGGGCATGGTGGCGCACGCCTGTAGTCCCAGCACTTGGGAGGCAGAGGCAGGAGGATCTCTGTGAGTTCAAGGCCAGCCTGGTCTACATAGTGAGTTCCAGGACAGCTGGGGCTACAGGGAGACCCTGCTTCAAAAAAAAAAAAAAAGACAAAAAAAATTTTTATTTTTATTTTATGTGTATGAATGTATTGCTTGCATGTAGGTTAGTGCACCCATGTTGTACAATGCCCACAGAGGACAGAAGAGGCCATCAGATCCCATGGAACTGGAGTTACGGACAGTTGTTAACTGCCATGTGGGTTGGGATTTGAACCTGGATCTTCTGCAAGAACAGTCAATGTTCTTAACCTCTGAGCCATCTCTCCAGCCCCAAAACACCATTCATTTAAAAATCAAAAGTTTCTGTGTATGTGTAGATGTGTACGGAGTCCAGAGGTCAACTTGCAACATTTCTTTGGAACATTGATCTCATTAAGACAGGTTTTCTCATTGGGATCTGGGGCTTGCTGATTAGCTGGCCCTATTTATTTATTTTGAGAGAGGGTCTCACTATGTAGCCCTGGTTGGCCTGGAACTCAATATATACCAGGCTGGCCTTGAACTCACAGAGATCTGACCTGCCTCTGCTTCTCAAATGCTAGCATTAAAGGAGTGGGTCACCATATCCTGTCTTGATTTAAAAATCTAATTATGTGTGCATGTGTGTCTGTGTGCATATGCACACATATGTGCAGGTGTCCACAGAGGCCAGAGGTGTAGGATCCCTGGAAGCTGGAATTACAGGTGGTTGTGAGCCTCCTGATGTGGGTACTAAGCAATCAAACTTGGGTCATCTGGGCGAGCAGGAAGCACTCTTAACTTTTGAGTCATCTCTCTAACCCCAACACCCAGCTTATTATTTATTTATTTATTTATTTATTATTTATATTTTATTTATTTTTATTTATTTATTACTTACTTATTTGTGTGTGCATGTATTCACAGGACACAGTGCACCTGTGGAGAACAGAGGACAACTTGGAATTGGTTCTTTTTCTACCATGTAGGTTCTGGGGATGGGACTTACTTTGTCAGGCTTGGCAACATCTTGACAGCCCAGGCATGTCACTACATCCACCTTTTTGCTGGGGATCAAACTAAGGTTTCAAGTTTGTACAGCAAGCAAATCTCCCCAGTTCCTAGAAAGAACTTTTTTTTTTTTTGGTCTTTTTGAGACAGGGTCTCATCTACACATACACAGGGTCTCCCTGTCTCAAAAAGACCAAAAAAAAAAAAAAAAAAAAGAAGATATCATAAGGGAAAAAATAAAGCAAAAAATCAGCATAAGCAATACTAAAAGGCAAACTAAAAACCCTTCCAATGGCTGTTATGAATAGATATACCACCATAAAAAATTCTCATGAATTAAAACATGAAAAACTCACAATATTAAGGTGCAATTATAACCCATGTTGGAAAACAAAACAAGCCCTCAGTCTATAAACACACAGAAGCAGAGCTGAACCTGAATGAAATGCTGATCAGATGCTGATAACAGCAGTTTCTATAGTGCTTTGCTGAGATGGCTTTTGGAGCAGGATTTGCCAATACAGATCAAGTCTAAACAAGACACTGCGCTGACCCTGGGGAGTCCACCCTAAAGAAGTGTTCTGAAACTGATAGCCAAAGATACACATGTGACACCACTCATCACAGTTACATCTGGTTTTTTGGTTTGCTATGTAACCTAAACTGTCCTTGAACCTGCAGCAATCCTTGTGCCTCAGCCTCCCAAGTGCTGAGATTACAGGTATGGACCACCATACCTAGCTCCACAGTACTATTGTATCTTGAGGGGGTATATTTGTGTGGTGTGTCCATGCTCATGGAGTTATGTGCTGTGGGTGTGCATGAATGTTGGAGGCCAGAGGTTGATGGTGAATGTCTTCTTCGATTGCTTTTTACCTTTTTATTTTATTTATTTTTACTTATTTTATTTTATTTTATTTATTATTTTATTTTATTATTATTTAATTATTTTGGTCTTTTTGAGACAGGGTCTCCCTGGAGCCCCAATTGTCCTAGAACTCACTATGTAGACCAGGCTGCCCTTGAACTCAGAGAGCCACCTGCCTCTGCCTCCAGAGTGCTGGGACTAAAGGCGTGCACCACCATGCTTGGCTTTACCTTATTTTTTTGAGACAGAATCTGTCCAACTAAATTTGGGGTACATAGATTCAGCTGGGCTGACTGGACAGTGAGCTTCTGTGATCCTCCTGTCTCCACCTTCCCAGTGCTGGGGTTGCAGACATCTGGGCTTTGTTGTTGTTGCTGTTGTTGTCATTGTTTTTTGAAACAGGGTCTCACTATGTAGCCCTGGCTGGCCTCAAACTTGCTATGTAGACCAGGCTGGCTTGACCACACAGAGCTCCTCCCGCCTCTGCCTCCCAAGTGTTGGGATTAAGGTGTGTACCATACCTAGGACACACCTGGTTTTTAAGTGGGTACTGGGCATCCAAACTCAGCTCTTTAAGCCTGCACAGCAGGCACTTGGCTGAGTTATCTCTCTAGCCCCACAGCTATTTATTATAGGGAGGAACTGCAGTTACCTAAACAGCAACAAAGGCTTCCTTAGAACCCTATACACCAGGTACCTTAACACCATCAATTACGTTCTCAAAGGATATTGTGCAATGCAGGAGGGGGCTCCAGGCAGGCTGTGAACCTCTTGTCCAAATCAAATGTGTTTTCTCATGTCTCCATCTGTCTACCTGTCCAGAGAGTCTCCCAAGTGTCTGTCAGGCAGGGCCAGTGCTGTATGGGAGAGATCCAAAAAGACCTTCAGTCAGGGTAGCGGAGGGCTAGAAGAAGCTCTGTGGATAAGATGTTCTTGCCTGGGCACTGCCTGGGGAGGGTTGGGGTTAAGGTCAGGGCTAGCACTGCCAGGCCAGCGAGCACCAGAGTCCTCTCTGCAAGGGCCTTGGTGCCCATACAGGTTCTGGCTCCCTCAAGGTCAGTACTCCTCTGTGTATCAGCTGGGCACAGCCCAGTTCATCTGATACATTCTGATCTTCTTCTGGCCTCTGTGCCCCCAGGCAGAGGACACCCAGCCCTTGGCTGGTCATGACTCATGAGCCAGACTAGAGCTGCTTCGCTTTGTTTTCCCATGACGAGATTTGCCACCAGGGCAGCAGCTATTTCTCCTCTTCTCTTCCTGGACCATCCTTCCACACTACGTCCTTTTAGCTGGCTCTCTCGCACACAGGCATCCTGCAGGATTTGGCATGTACTCACAGGCTCTTCTCTCTTTTCACCCTGTGAGGCCCTAGACCTCCCAGAACTACTGCCAGAGTGCACACCAACCCCCAGGAAAGGGGAATGGGAGTTGCTTGGCCAAGGCTGACCTGAGTAACCCTCTCAGAAGGTAGGGAGAGGGGTACTGAGGGTGGGAGACCCTGTGGGAGAGCCCTTCCTGAGCTGGACAATGCTCCTTTCCCAGAGAGCTCCCAGCAACAGAGGGAAGGGTATGACCTAACAGTGCAGTCACAGAGCCTTGCAGTGTTCTCTGGGAAGGGAGCCCAAGACTCAATGAGTTTTGACCAGAAGGCTGTGAAATTCCTGGCAAACTTTTACATCAATGGAGGCAAACACTGGACCCATGGTCCCCTGAGGCAGACGCCTCTTCATCCCACCCAGTAACTTCAGAGGGTAATGGAAGGTGAGGACACCCAGGTGGGAAGGCCATCGGGCTGAGTTGACAGTGGCTGTTGGCCTCCTTGCAGGCCAAAGCTGCTGTGCTGTCCTGGGACCAGGAACTAGAGGCAGCTTGGGATGAGATGTGGCCCCCAAAGACGAAGAAGTCCCCTGTTGGCATCAGGTTAAAAATGAACACCTTCAGAGAGTCAGAAGCCATCTGCACAGGGACCCTGAGGGATCTGTGTGAGTGAAGGTCCTGGCTACCTCACCCCCACCCCAGGCAGGCATGGGGGGGGGGACAAGGTGGGAGCAGCCTTCTTGGAGGAAATGGGTCTATAGCTTGCTTTTTGTGCCAGTGCTGGAGCGACGTCCTCCAATCCTGACTGACCTGGATGTCCCCGGCCCCACCAAGTACAATGTGCCCAGTGCATCTCTACGAGAGTCTTCCCCTCACCCCCACTACACCATTGGCTGCAAGTACTCAGGCAGAGGTTCATGTCCCCACAACCCTGCCTATCTCTATATGGGGAATGAGGGCCTCCCACCCTGAAGATCTCCCCACCAACCATCCATTCACTGCAGAGGGAGGTGGCCGCAGGGCATGACAGACCCTGTGGCTCCAGAGTGAAAGTCCCTTCACACAGAAGGCAAAAGGTGGGGGTGCTGCGTGGTCTAGGTGGAGGGAGGCTGGGGGAGGATGGCTAGGGGGCTGAGTGTGAAAGGGCAGGGTATTAGGGCAAAGGTGGGTTGGCAAAGGTAGGCAGGTGGCTTGTATGAGCGAAGGTGGGTTGGCAAAGGTAGGCAGGTGGCTTGTATGAACGAAGGTGGGTTGGCAAAGGTAGGCAGGTGGCTTGTAATGAGCGGCAGGGGTGGGGAAGGGCTGTATGGCCAGGTTTGACCAGGATAGTTTGTGTCTGGGTGGGGGTGGAGTGGGAAATCCAGGGGCTCAGAAGCAGCAGTTGACAGCCTAGAGGAGAGGGTCAAGTCAGGTGAGGAAGTCTTGTAGCCCCGTGTCCTGACTCCTCGCAGTGGCCATCATCGGCAGAGTACAAGCCCCTCAGCCAGCCTGCTTTCCCATCCTTCACCTTTGGAGGCCGCCGCCACTCCACATTCAAGATACCTGAAAGCCATAACCGCCCAGGGATGTTCTGAGCCCAAGGTCCTTGTGCCTGTACCCCACTCTTTGTTGCCCCTCGGCCATCTGGGGAGAAGCGCTCCAGCCCTAACACATACAACATTCTTCCTGGGTAATCATCTGCAGAGCACATGTTCACCTGCCTTTACCATGAGCTGCTCACCTGCATTTGCCTCCTGGGTTAGCACCTGTAAGGAGGCCTAGGAAACGAGCCTCAACCTGTCTGAGGGTGGAGTGAGGGTGTGGCTGGATTGGGGGAGGGCAGGGTCAGGAGTGGGGGCCGGGAAGTGAACTTCAATGGGCTCCTAGCTCGCTCTTTCTGCAGCCAGAACCCCAGGTCCGGCTGCCTACTACGTGGAAGACTGCTACAACTCACACTTTCCTTCTTCTCCGGGAGTAGTCATCCAGGGAATACGCAGATCCAAGTGCCATGACACAGGCCCCTTCTTCACACTGTAGACCAATTGGATCTAGACTGCAAAGGTGACCTCCCCTAAGGCTTTCCTAGGTCTCTTTTGGAACTATTTGTCTGCAGCCTGGCCTTCTGACCCTCTTGGCACCCTGACCCACCCTCTGGTTACCAGACATTTCTGTAGGCTGTGCAACAAGAAAGTCTGTTCAGATGTGTGTGGGGGCACTTCCTTGCAATACAAAGATGCAGTTGATTCTTCTGAACTCTGGTGTGCCTGGCTGCCAATCTTTTGCCAATGAAGTATCTTGAAGTTGGGGCCTTCTGCTTACCTGTTATCTCTGTTTCTGCAGGGTGCTCTCTTCTCTAGAGTTAGGGTAGCAGCTTGGAACTGACCATACACTTCCTGACCCCTTAGGACATGATGGGAAGGAGACCCTGTGGCAGTGACAACTTGAACCAGTCATGCCATCCAAGGGACAGGTCCAGCTTCTGCCTAAGGGTCAGGCTTCTTGCTGAACTGTGGAGCTGTTAGGATGGGGTAGGCAGTCAGACCCTCATGAGTTGCCTTCTTGAGATAGGCACAGCCTTGCCTAGCCACTTGGCAGAGCCCAGAGAATCAGCTCACTGGCCCCACTTTCCTGGGACCTTGACCTGAAGATTTAGCAGGGATTGGTAACCTGTGTCCTGAGGACTCAAACCTAAGGCCTGCGGGCCCCTGCCCAAAGCAGTAACCTGGCTGTTGGTTCCCTCATCACTACTGGCCTGCTGGCCTCACAGAAGTCTTCTGAGGGAGCTTCAACTTCAGTTAGTCACAGAAATTTCCCCAGAGCCCTGCCTGTACTTTCTTTCCTCACCTAACAATGCACTTTTTTTTTTCTTTTTCTTTTTGAGATAGCGTCTCCCTGTAACTACAGCTGGCCTGGAATGCACTATGTATACCAGGCTGCCTTCAATCTCACAGAGATCTATGTACCTGCCTCTGCCTCTAGAGTGCTGGTATTAAAAGCATGTGCCACCAGGCCTGGCCCTCAGAAAACAATTGTGTACAACATGGCACACATTTGGAAATCAGAGGACAACTTGCTGGAGTCTGTTCTCTTTCTACCATGTGAGATCTGGGGATTGAACTCAGGTCTACATAATTGGCAGCAAGCACCTTTATGTGCTCAGCCATCTTGTCAGTCTCCCCACCCCCACCCCCGGTTCAATTTTACATAGGCTCTGCCCAAGCTGCTGCCATGGTGCCAGCAGCAACCCCTTTTGCAGAATGGAAGCCTTGGACCAAGAGTGAGTGCCCTGTGCTTGTGTTCTCTGACTGCACCAACTGGTGCCTGAACCCTAATGCCCTGGGGAATGAAGGTGGTGGGACCTTTGCCACTGGGCACTGTGTGGACGAGCTTAGCCAGCAGTGACAGTGGCAGAACTGTGGTAGCCTTGGCCTTGGGAGCTCAGCTTCAGTGGGAATAGGAGCTTTGCTTATAACTATACAACCAGGCACCCTGGGACCAGGCATGTGAACAGCAGGAATGACAAACTGAGGAGGCAGTGCTTCCTGGATGAGAGAAGGGGCTTCCAAGGATGGGCAAGAATGTGAATGGGCAGCAGGAAGGGAATTGTAGCAGAGGGAACCACAGCAGCAAAGGTACATGAAAAGAGATAGGAGGTGTGTTGGAGGGAGTCAGAGGGCTGGTAGAAGGGAGAGAGGTGGAGTAGTGGAGAGGCTGAAGAGAGCTAAATGCACACCTAACAGCTAGAGCCCTCCATCCCAGAGCAGCATCCCCATTGCCAAGGACAAGGGACACTGCAGAATCTGGACACTGGCTCAAACCTCAGTCTTCACATGCCCACAGTGATGGTTGCCGCTGCTGTTCCCACTGCACAGATCTCTTGTAAGGCACATTTGGATTTTAGTTTGCATGAAAGTTGTGGTGTGAGCTGTGTCCCCATTTTACCTAATTCCAAGGAATGAGGAGGCCATACATGACGCCGTACCCCTGTGCAACAGGAGCAGAGAAGTTCTAGGGCGGGGACTCACAAGAAGTAAAAAAATTCTGAATGTCAAGATGCTACGAGATCGCCTGGTGTGGTGGCCGAGCCTTTAATTCCAGCACCCTGGAGGCAGAGTCAGGCAGATCTCTTGTGAGTTCAAGGCCAGCCTGGTCTACATAATGAGTTCCAGGCCAACTAGGGCTACAGAGAGACCTGTCTCAAAATGACCAAAAAAAAAAAAAAAAAAAGGCTATGAGATCATCTAATGGTGGTCATGATTATAAAAATAAAATGTAGGAGGTTGGAGAGATAGCTCAGTGGTTAAGAGCACTGGCTGCTCTTGCAGAGGACCCGGGTTCGAACTCCAGTTCCAGGGAATCCGACACCCTCTTCTGACCTCCGTGAGCATTGCACGACACGGGTGCACTACATACATAATATGCAGGCAATACACTCGTACACGTAAAATAAGAAAACAAAATGTACTTGGAAACAAGTCAGTTCTGAAATTCATAAGGCAGGTGATTGGGCCTCACGCCCCACAACCTGCTCCCAACTCCACCCCCCGGCCCTGCTAGCTTAGGGCGTGGACTCCAGTCCCCACAGAGCCTCAAACTTCGTGGGACCGTTCAGACCCGCTGGAGTGGGCGTGGCATCGCGGAAGATCGTTGCGTCATCCTGACACCGGCCCTTTCTCGCAGCTACTCAGCTAGTCTCTGAGTAGCGCGCCTTAGCCCGGAACCTGCGCGCCGCTCTATAGGCGTTTCCTCCCGTGCCCCTGGGCTGGAGGACCCAGGCGGAAGTGGGCGGTGCGGGCCTGTGGGAGCGGTTCCGCGGGCGCGATCAGGCCAAGCTGGAGGCCACCGGGGAGCGGGGCTTGGGGGGTCCCCGAGGCACCGGGGAGAGAGTTTCTGGGGTGCCAGCCGCTTCTGCGGCGGCCACCGGGGAGCGCGGCGGGGATGGGGTGCCTAGCCGGGTGGCAGCGGGAGCCTCAGCCATGTTCGCGGGGCTCCAGGACCTGGGCGTGGCCAATGGCGAGGACCTGAAAGAGACCCTGACCAACTGCACAGAGCCGCTCAAGGCCATTGAGCAATTCCAGGTGGGCTGGTAGCCTGCGTTGCCGGGGAAGCGGGACAGACGCTGCGGATTCCCGACGCTTGGATGGAGGCACTGAGGATCTGGGTGTTCTCTTTTCACGGTTACCACCTGTGCCTCTGGGAACATCTGTGGACCTTCCTGTGTGCTTAGGGCATCTAGGGTTCCCGTGCTGACTTGACTGAGGCCCAGGTTTCTGCCACCAAAAGGCACTCGCGTTGACCCTCTGCTTCCCCAGACAGAGAATGGCGTGCTGCTGCCCTCCCTGCAGTCGGCCCTGCCCTTCCTGGACTTACATGGCACACCGCGATTGGAGTTCCATCAGTCGGTGTTTGATGAGCTTCGTGACAAACTGCTGGAACGAGTATCAGCCATCGCCTCTGAGGGGAAGGCGGAGGAGAGGTGGGTCGTCACCAGCAACCGGTGGGCAGTAGAGCTGTGCAGCTGTAGCTTGTACTGGGTAGCATTTATTGTCTCCATGGCTGCAGAGTCCTTTTAGATATGGCCGGGTATGTATTTGAGCGGACTGCTTGCGCCCCCCGCCCCCATCCCATGTGTCCTGAATGGAGAGACCCACTTCCTTAGTTGTGACAATCTTCCCAGGTACAAGAAACTGGAAGACCTTCTGGAAAAGAGCTTTTCTCTGGTCAAGATGCCATCATTACAGCCAGTGGTTATGTGTGTTATGAAACACCTGCCCAAGGTGAGAGCTGTGGGGGCCAGCTCTCCCAGGGGAGGCCAGTGAGTCTTTGGCATATGCTGCTTTCCAAGCCTGCACCAAGTCCTTAGTTGGTGGAAGTCAGACCATGGGCTTAGGGTAGGCAGTTGCTTAGCTCCTGGAAGGTTTGATGAACTTGCCTTCCAGAGCAAGCTCTGTAGCACCTTCTCTCGACCACAGACCTTTCCTGGATGAGCCAAGTGGAAACAGACACTTAACACCATAGTTGGAGAGTGGGCCTTTCCTAGGAGCTGTCTGGATTCATCTACTTAGACCTGGAGTGTCCATTAAACTTGCCCTTGTTGAGTGTGGCTAAACTCCAGGCAGTTTTTGTGGGTAGCTGAGGCCTCATGGCCTATCCTGGGGGAGACTTGGCAATGCAGGGACTACTTGCAGAGGCTGCAATCTTTGCCTTGTAGGTTCCTGAAAAGAAGCTGAAGCTGGTGATGGCTGACAAGGAGCTGTACAGAGCGTGTGCCGTGGAGGTGAAGCGGCAGATCTGGCAGGACAACCAAGCTCTCTTTGGTGATGAGGTTTCACCGCTGCTGAAGCAATACATTCTGGAGAAAGAAAGTGCACTCTTCAGCACAGAGCTCTCTGTCCTGCACAACTTCTTCAGCCCATCCCCCAAGACCAGGCGCCAGGGTGAGGTGAGAGGAAGCCAGGGTGTCATCAGGGCAGGTGCCTCCCAAGGGACTGTGGCTAGCCCTTTCCCTGCTCTCCTCTTTCCTCGTAAGTGTGTAGGTTGGTCTGTTCCTATAAGCATTGCCTTGTTCATGTGGCTGGGAAAAGGCTGGTTGGCAGAAAGTTGAGGTAGGAATATTGCTATGAATTTGAGGCCAGCCTGGAAGACATAGCAAGGCCCTGTCTCAAAAATCCAGAAAGGGTCTGGAGAGTTGGCTCAATGGTTAAGAGCACTAGTTGCTCTTCTAGGTGACCTGGGTTCAGTTTCGAGCAGTCACATGGCAGGTTACAAGCATCCATAACTCCATTTCTAGGGGAGCTGATGCCAAAGGCATGGCACACATAGGTGCACTTACATGCAGGCAACACACATACACATGAAATATAAATAAAAGGAAAAAAACCTGCATTCAGCTTTTTTTTTAATATTTTCTTTATTTTTTTATTTTATGTGTGTGAATGTATTGCCTACATGTTGGTATGTGAGTGCACCGTGTTGTGCAATGCCGTGGAGGTCAGAAGAGGGCTTTGGATTCCCTCGGAATTGGAGTTAAGGATGGTTCATAGCTGCCATGTGGCTGCTGGGAATCGAATCCGGGTCCTCTGCAAGAGCAGCCAGTGCTCTTAACCGCTGAGCCATCTCTCCAGCCCCTGGAATCTCCATTTTTACCAGAACTAAGGTAGAACCTGAGAGGCAGAACCTGAGAGGCTTGGTCTGTAGCTCAGAAGTCAGCTGTCAGTAATACAGATCTCTGTGAGTTCGAGGCCAGCCTGGTCTTCATAGTGAGTTCCAGGACAGCTGGGGCTACAGGGAGACCCTGTCTCAAAAAAAAAAGTAGCTGTGCTAAAAGCCCATGTCTTTTTTTATTTTAATATTTTATTTTTATTTTGTGTGTTTGTTTGCATGTAAGTGTGCCTGTGTTGTGCAGTGCCCACAGAGGATCGAAGAGGTTGTCAGATCCCCTGGAACTGGAGTTATGGACAATTGTTAGCTGTCATGTGGGTACTGGTATTCAAACCCAGGTCTTCTGCAAGAACAGTCAGTGTTCTTAACTGCTGAGCCATCTCTCCAGCCCCATAACTGGAATCTTTAAAAATATTTTAGTTATTATTATTATTATAATAGTAATCTATTATTATATAATAGTAATCTATTATTTTTATTATTATTGGGCTTTTGGGGATAGGGTCTCCCTATAGCCCCAGCTGGCCTGGAACTCAACAGAGATCAGCCTGCCTCCCAAGTGCTGGGATTAAAGGTATGCACCCCCATTCCTGGCTGATACATTCTTATGTACATAAATGCAAACAGAAAAATGAACAGACGAGTAGTAAAGTACACAGGAAATTGCTAGGGAGATGGCTTAGTAGGTAAGAGCATTTGCTGCACAAGTATGAGGACCTGAGTTCAAATCTCCAGCACACATGAAAAAGTCCTCCATGGCCACAGGTGCCTGTAACCCCAGTGCTAGGAGTGAGGGGGCAGAGACAGGAGGCTCAACTGGGCTTGCTGGCTAGCCAGTGTAGACAGAAACAAACAAAACCCACTGAGCTGCAGGTTCAGTTGGAAACCCTGTCTTCAAGTGAAAAAGGTGGAGGATGGTAGAGCAGGACACCCAGTATCCCCTGGTGTTTACAAGTATGTACACAGAAGCACACACATACACACCACACACACACAGACATTCACAGTATATGCAGAGAAAAGATACTCTTTCACAGTTGCCTCTTTTCCTTGAAGTCAGTACTACCCTGTCCCTGTTCCCTTGGTCCCATGCACACCCTGCACATGACTGATTTTCACTGTAGTCTGCCTTAGAACCTACTTTCATGTGGGACTTTCTCTCCAGGTCACACCATGGCACTGGTGCTCTGAAAGGAAGTGTCTTTAGGGCTGCACCCTGTGGAACCCCAAGCTCCCTCACAGACTAGACACAGTGCTTTCTGGTTGTCTTTCTAATTCAGTGATGTGCTGGCTTCTTCTTGGTTCTTCTGGCTCTCAGTCCCTGTGGCCTCTTTGATTTCCTTCCCTGACAGCCTATTTCCTCTCCCTCCCCCATATACACATACATACATATATTTTTTTTTAATTGAATTTTTGTAAACATTTCATACAATACATCTTAATCATATTTAGACTCACTCCTTTGTGCCCACCTGTACTCCCCCCCCCAGATTTAATGTTTTTTTTTTTTTTTTGTTTTTTTTTCTGTCTTTTTTTGAGACGGTCTCCCTGTAGCCCCAGCTGTCCTGGAACTCACTATGTAGACCATGCTGGCCTCGAACTCACAAAGATCTGCCTGCCTCTGCCTCCCAAGTGCTGGGATTAAAGGCATATATCACCACACCTGGCTAGATTTAATGCTTTTTGCCATATATGCCTGTTGAGTCAAATTTGTGTTCCCAGATGTCCCTCTATCTGCTGGAGCCTGGTCAGCTTGTCTAGTGTCAGTGTCACTCCCTTAAAGAAGACCAACTTGCTAGGCGTGGTGGCACAGGCCTTTAATCCCAGCACTTGGGAGGCAGAGGCAGGTGGATCTCTATGAGTTCAAGGCCAGCCTGATCTGCATAGTGAGTTTCAGGCCAGCTGGGGCTACTGGGAGACCCTGTCTCAAAAAGACCAAAAAAAAAAACCAGAAGACCAACTCACCCAGCAGTGATCAGCTATTAATAGTTCTTTGGCTAAGGTTGGGGCCTCCTGCTCATTTCCCCAGTTCTATGCTGTTTTGTTGTTGTTATTGTTAAACTTTTAAAAAATATATTTTATTTATTTATATGTATGAATGTATTGCCTGCACGATCTTGTGTAGTGCCTGCGGTGGTCAGAAGAGGCTGTTGGATCCCCTGGAACTGGAGTTACAGAAGGTTGTTAGCCACCATGTGGGTGCTGGGAACTGAACTGGGGTTTTCTGTACTTGGGGTCCCAGCAGGTCACAGCCAAGGACTTCTTAGGGTACCGTCAGGATGATGTGGCCCTACTATCTTGAGTAACAACCTGGCACTCTTGAATATGGTGCTAGGATTTCATGGCAGAGGAGGAAATATCTTATGCCAAAAAGAGTAGATAGGACAGCTGTCCAGAGAGAGGCCACCTCTGTGTCCAGCACTGCGGTGCCTTTGTCTTGTGCTTGGGTGGTGCTGGGTGGGGATTTTGAGCTCCACAGGCCTGATTGCCTCCCAGGTGGTGCAGAAGCTGACTCAGATGGTAGGGAAGAATGTGAAGCTCTATGACATGGTGCTGCAGTTTCTGCGTACACTTTTCCTACGGACCAGGAATGTGCACTACTGTACACTGCGGGCTGAGCTGCTCATGTCCCTGCATGACTTAGACGTCAGTGACATCTGTACTGTGGACCCCTGCCACAAGGTAGGACTGCCTGCCCGAGTACTTCTTCCTGTGCCTCTTCAGCTGCTCCTTTGGGATTTAGTAGTCCAGAAATGACCTGGGTGCTAACTGCGACCAAGCCTGTTTCTCAGTCTGCCAGATTTTTTTTTTTTTTCTCTTGAGATAGAGTCTCACTATAGCTCTGGTTGGCCTGAAATTAGCTATGTAGACCAGACTGACTTTGAACTCAAGAGATCTGCATGCCTCTGCCTCCCAAGTACTGGAGTTAAAAGGCATGCCCCACCACACCCAGACTTTGACTGCCTGCTTTGTGCTCTTCAGTCCCACTGGGGTATGAGGAGGTTCTGCAGACTTAGCTGTTCTAGTGCCTCTTGCTGGCCCTCCAGCCCCTATTCCATAGCTGTCAGTGGCAGGCCTGTGGCCATCTTTTTGTTGGGTTTCTAGCCTTCTCTAGAGCCCTCAGTGCTTCTTGCTGGCCAGCACCAGGGTAATTTAGGAATGGAGTTTCCTGCACAATGCCCCATCCCCCAGTAAGCATAGTAAGTCTGAGATTATCTCCTGGGTACCATGTAGTATCACTCATTGCTCAGCACTAGTGTCCACTTGGCTGCCAGCCCTGGTTGGTTCCCTTTCAGGGAAAACAAATATGCTTCCTCTGTGCACTGTCATGATCCTTGTTTTGTTGGGGCCTTGGGAAGATGCCTTCTACTTCCTAGAGGCTTCTGGTCCCATGCCACATTCTGCTCTGGGCACTGGATTTAGTTCTTTCTCAATACCTACTGGATGAGTGGCAAGGAAAATAGTAGTCTTGGGTGTCCCAACCTGGAGGCCTCTGCTGTCCAGCCCCCCTGCATCAGCATGGCCCCCTGGGGTACTTGCCACCTTGTCTGTCCTCTCCTCAGGCCCCTTCCATCCTTGGCTTCACCTGGAGTGGGGTCTCCAAACTTGGCTTGTGTTTGTCTTTGCATCTGCTGTGTACTTGACCCTGCAGTTCCCATAGCCATTTGGACAGTGGCAGAGCTTCAGTGAGGGGTAAGGTCTGGTTACACCTGGATTGTATGCTTCCTGCTTGCAGTTCACCTGGTGCCTGGACGCCTGCATCCGAGAGCGGTTTGTGGACAGCAAGAGAGCCCGGGAGCTGCAGGGATTCCTTGATGGAGTGAAAAAGGGGCAGGAGCAAGTCTTGGGGTGAGAGTTGACTCTGTGAGGGTCCCAGTGCTGGGGTCCCGTCTATAGGCATCCAGTGGAGCATGCTGTGTCCCACCATTGGTAGCTGGAGCCCTTTCCAATATGTTTGGGACAGCCATGCTAAGAACCAGCCCTGCTGCTAAGAAAGGCAGTTGCTTGGAATGAGTCTTGGTTGCAGAGGGATCCTTACCTCTGCATGGAGTGTGGGGCCTACTGTCCCTGGGGTAGCCAGCATGGGAGCCTGGAGGGGACTGCTGTGTGCATAAGGGTGTGTTGTCTGAGCTGAGGGGCTGTTTTCTAGCATCCTCTGCCTGGTGTGTGGGCTAGTCCTCCTGCCACCTTTCCTCATTGTAATGCTCCCTTGTTTACTGAACCCAGAGCCTGAGCCAGTTTTTTTTGTTTTTGTTTTTGTTTTCTGAGATATCCTGGAACTTGCTGTGTAGACAGTGCTGGCCTTGGATTCATCACAGAGGTCTGCCTGCCTCTGTCTCCCTGAATTCAGGGATTAAAAGCATATACTACTATGCCCAGCCTCTGAGACAGTTTAGAAACAAAGTTTAGACTTAGTGTGTGGTGTGTGTACACACGTGTGCGCGTGCAAATGTGCCCGTGAGTATGTGTATGTGGGTGTGTGTGTGTGTGTGTGTGTGTGTGTGTGTGTGTGTGTGTACACACGTGTGCGCATGCAAATGTGCCCGTGAGTATGTGTATGTGGGTTTTTTTTTAACTCTTTAGTTTAAAAGATCTTTGAGTAAATTATGGATAAATTATGAATTCAGGACAGAGAGAGATGGCTCTCCAGGACCAGTCCTCAAGGCTCCACATCCCAGTCTGTGACTGTGCCTTCAGTGGGCCCAGCACTGCAGCTAATGAAGACAGAACCACTGGGCCTCCCCCATTTATACCAAGGACTGATTCCTTCCAGGGATTTGTCTATGATCCTGTGTGACCCCTTCGCCATCAACACACTGTCCCTGAGTACCATCAGGCACTTGCAGGAGCTGGTTAGCCAGGAGATGCTGCCCAGGGTGAGCACAGATATGGCTGGTGGCTTTGCAGACACTGGACCAAAGTACATACTTTCTACTTATGAAATAGGGTTTTGCCCCATGGGTGGGTGGTGGCACATGGGTTCCTGGGGTCCTGGCCCTGGAAAGCAGAGGTCCTGCTGTGTGTGGGACCAGAAGACAACAGCATAACCTGAGCCCTCTATCTTCTTTCAGGACAGCCCCGATCTCCTCCTACTACTTAGGCTGCTGGCATTGGGCCAGGGTGCATGGGACTTGATCGACAGCCAAATCTTCAAGGAACCCAAGATGGTATAGGGTCCAGTTTCCTCCTTTTGTACAAATTGTGGGGATTGGTAGGGTGGGGCCCTCTGGTACTAAGAGTCTGATCCTAGAATCTTCTTTGGGTAAGATGCCTACTGAGGATGTTTTGGGTATCTTGGCAGACTGGCTGCAGGGTGGTAGCTATTTCATGTAGATTGAGGCCAGACAGGGCTTTGCATATGTAGACATGATCATGTCAGATTGGGGTTTGAGAACACAGCACTGGACATGGGTCTTAGGAAGCAAGGAAGATTCCTTGAACCAACATCCAAGAAAGCTGGATCTGATCTTGGGTGGGCCAGGGTGAAGTCTACACTGGACTGAATGTGCTAGGGTCTATACTGAGAGCAGCTGGGTTCAGTGGGAGCCCAGTGGACTCAGGTACTCTTCTTGGCAGGAGGCAGAGCTCATCACCAAGTTCCTGCCGATGCTTATGTCCTTCGTGGTGGATGACTATACATTCAATGTAGACCAGAAGCTTCCCGCTGAGGAGAAGGCCCCAGTCATGTACCCTAACACGCTTCCAGAAAGTTTTACCAAGTAGGACTCGAGGGCAGTGGGTGAGAGAGGCACCAGGGTGGGGCTACAGGTGGAGGTCCTGTTGGGAGGGCTGATCCCAGACCACAGTGTCTTGCATACAGGTTTTTGCAGGAGCAGCGCATGGCTTGTGAGGTCGGGCTGTACTATGTCCTGCATATCACCAAGCAGAGAAACAAGAATGCACTCCTGCGCCTACTGCCTGGACTTGGTGAGTCTGATAGCCACTCTCACTTGCCACCTGTGACCTGGGCTCCTGGGCCCTGAGCTGTGCCACTGTCTCCCTGCTCTCGCCTTCAACCGCCATGGCTTGATTTTGACGTTTAAGTTTCTGGCTGAACTTCACTTCAGCAGGCAGGGCTTAGCTGTGCTTCACAGAAGCTGTTGAGTCTCGTGTGCTTTTCCACAGAAAGAATTCAAGGGACACCTTTATCTTGCCCTAACTGGTAAAGAGCTTGGAGTTCCTAGGGTGTTCAGACAGCCCCTCTACCTGGGGTGCCTGGAGTGTCATAAGCTGAGAAGAGAGGGAGTCTAAATGGGCCTCTCAGGAGCAGAGCTAAAACTTCTATTGGGGAGAGGTTGCCTCAGTGGCATCACATTATCCTCATGGTGACAGGCCCCAGGCATGTGCTGGCTCAGACCATGTCTGGATTTTAAATTAGAAGATTGTGCAAAAAGATGGAGCCTGTTTCTTACTTGGTATGTTTGTCCATCACTGGTCTACCTGTTTCCTGCTTGCTGTGTGGGTATTGATTTATATACCGCTGCCATCTCACTGGATTGTCTTGGCCTGGGCCTTAGTTTCCTCTGCAAAAAGATACCACAGATTTAGCAGCTTGAAACAACTCAGTCTTGTGGTTCTAGAGGCGGGAAGCCTGAAGTAAACCTCACTGGGCTTAGATCAGCTATGGCCAAATTGGCTCTCTTTTATGGGCCTGTTAGAAAGCCCTATGCCCTCTCCAGCTTCAGGGGCATCAGGATATTCAGCCCTCATTCTGCTGTATGGCAAGCTCCTTTATCCATTGAGCCATCTCCCTTGCCTTCTGTTCACGTACTTATTTTTAATTTAAAAAAAAAAAATGTCTGATGGCTGTATTAGTTACTTTGAGACAGGACATCCCTATAGCCCCAGCTGGCCTGGAACTCACTATATAGACCAGGCTGGTCTTGATCTCACAGAGATCTGTCTGCCAGAATTAAACCAAGCCTGGGTATGTTGTTTTTTATAAATTTCTTTAATATCCTATCAAAATTAGTTATCTTTTCTGTTTTGTGTTTTTAAATTTTGATTTGTTTTAAATTTTTAGTTGCTTGTATTTTATGCGTATGGGTTTTTGCCTGCTTGTATGTAAGTACACCAAATGTGTGCAGTGCCCATGGAGGCCAGAAGAAGGTGTAGGATCTTCTGGAATTGGAGTTATGGGCAGTTGTTAGCTGCCATGTGGGTGATGGAAACTGAACTTGGGTCCTCTGCAAGAGCAGCCAGTGCTTTTAACCTCTGAGCATCTCTCTAGCTCCTGAAGCCAGATCTTACATAGTCCAGGCTGACTTTGAGTTCATCATGTATCCAAGGATGACATTGAGCTCTACATCTTGGACTCCTCCCGGTGCTGAGACTACAGGTATATGCCCCTACGCTCAGCTGCATTAGGTACGTTTGTACCACTGTGGCTGCAACAGAAACAACTTAAGAAAAGAAAGAATCATTTTGACTCAGTTTCAGAGGATTTCAGTCCATCTTGGTGAGGAAGGCATAGCGGAACAGTTCAGTTCACAGCAGTGTGAGCATGTTGCAGAGGCCGCTCACATCAAACAAACCAGCAAGCAGCTTGTGACTGGAATCAGGAGCAGATGGAACCTTCAGCTGCCCACTCTTAGTGACATGCTTCCACCAGCAGGCCTTAACCTCCTGAAGGTTCCATAGCCTTCAAAATAGTGCCATCAGCTGGGGATCGAAGGTTCAAAACATGAACCTGTAGGGGTGTTTCAGATTCAGACCATAATACTAGCTCTGAACAGATCTGCTTGCTAGCCTTTCGTGTCACCGAATGGGTGGCTGAGTTCCTGTGTCTCAACAAGGGTATTGTACTAGTGACTAAGTCAGGATTCGAGGTCCCTTGCACTGTGCATGATTGTTTGCCTTTCAAGTGTCATGGTTGTCTGGAGGTAAAAGAATACTAGCATCTTTTGTAGTGACCATGTATTTACCCAGGTCTCCTGTGACTACAGGTTATGAAGTGGATGAGAATCAGTCTGTTGGCAATAGTACCTCTGGAACACCTGAGTCTCCCCACAGTGTTCCAGCTTCTCCATAGGTTCAGGTTGTATCAGCTGGCTCTGCCCTCAGAACACTTCCTACTCCCAAGTGTCAGGAATGGTGATGTCTGGTCTGTCTACATCGTGCCTGTCCTTGGGCAAGGTCTGGCTGTAGGGTCCTTGGGTCACCTCTCCTGTGAGTGACTACTGTCCGGTATCTGTGGTTTGCTCCTGGCTAGCTCTGCCTGTAGCAGTGTCATTGGTTGTAAGCAGGATTCATAGGCAGTTGCTTGGTCATCTGTCCTACTTTGGTGTCTTCAGAAAGGGAGTTTGGAAGTGTTTCTTTGTGCTCTTTCCTGAGGATCCATCGGGGGAGTTTGGCAGAATTTCCTCCTGGTGTTTCTGCTTGTTGGTCTGTGAGCTTTACCTGTGTGGAGGCCAATTCAGACCAGAGCCCCTGGCTGTTTGGTAGAGCATCTTTCCATCCCCATACTCCAGCTGTGGCCTTGCTTCCCTGCTGAGAGCCACTGACCACCTATCCATCCCTGCTGGGCAACTGGCCTTGCTCCCCCTGCTACAGGACCCTGAGGGCAGAGGCTAAGCTACCCTGCTGTGTTTACAGTGGAAACCTTTGGTGACCTGGCCTTTGGTGACATCTTTCTCCACCTGCTCACGGGGAGCCTGGCACTGCTGGCTGATGAATTTGCCCTGGAGGATTTCTGCAGCAGCCTCTTTGATGGCTTCTTCCTCACTGCCTCCCCCAGGTAGGGCACACAGCCCAGTAGACCCTCCTTTCCTGTCAGTTCTTGTGCATGACAGCCTGGGAGGGAAGTGAGGCCCCACAGGTAGGTCTCTGGGCACTAGGGCCTATGCTAGAGTAAGGAATTCCTGAGTATGTATAGCTTGGGGATGGCCCAGGGGTCAGCTCTGTTCTGCCTCTGGAGGCACATTAGCACTGCAAGGTAGGGTGTACCTGGGAGGGAAGTAGCGGCTGTGACCCCTCTAGCCCCACTGATCTCTTCCAGGAAGGAGAATGTACATCGCCATGTGCTGAGGCTCCTCCTCCATCTGCACCCCAGGGTGGCTCCTTCTAAGCTGGAGGCCTTGCAGAAGGCCCTGGAGCCCACAGGCCAGGTGGGTACCCTCAATTCCTGTTTCTGTGGAGTGTTACTCTGTGAATGTGCCCAGTCAGTCCAGCTGTGATATGCTTGTTCTCAGTGCCTACCCACCCTCCCTCACCACAGATGGCTTTGCCTGTGGGTTCATTCCACAGATGGCTTTGCCTGTGGGTTCATTCCACAGATGGCTTTGCCTGTGGGTTCATTCCTCCACGTGGCCTCAGGCCTCCTGCCCCATTTTATGCTCATGCCTTGTTTTCCCACAGAGTGGGGAGGCTGTGAAGGAACTCTACTCTCAGCTTGGTGAGAAGCTGGAGCAACTTGACCATCGGAAGCCCAGCCCTACCCAGGCTGCGGAGACACCGGCGCTGGAGTTGCCCCTTCCTAATGTGCCTGCCCCAGCTGTACTCTGAGGCTCTGTGGGGCTGTTGCATAGTGGTTCCCCTCTGGGAGGAGGCCCTAGTCAGCCAGGAGTGCAGGGTGAGCTGAAGGCTGTTTCTTGGCAAGGCACCCCCTCCACTGAGTCACTTCCTGGAGCTGGTCTTGGGAGATCCTCTGTGGTCTCTTCATATGCCCAGGGGGACTTCTGGTTACATGGTGGGGCTTGGCTCCTGCTTGAACCTAGCAGAGATGGACAGTGGTTTGTATTAGGGAAAAGCCAATTTTCCAAGTGGGCAGAGGCCTGTGTGACCTGACATTCAGTGTGGAGGTAGCCTAAGGAGAAAGGTGTGCTGGGTTGGCCAGAGCAGATTTGCTGAGCCTGGTATCTGATGCACAGGAGTGGTACCCTCCAGAGAAGCCAGGTGGAGAGTCTACAGGAAGCGAGCCTACTGGTGTCAGGGTTATAGTCCTTGCTGACTACACTGTTTGGCCTTCGAGTCAGGGATGGTGGGTGAACACCTTGAGGTTTCCACTTATGTGAATAAAATATTTTGATAAATCCGTGGTGAGAGGTTTCTGTGCTTCTCCTAGAGCTGGGTGCAGTACAGTGGTAGGTGGGGAGTCAATGCTTTGGCCTCTGTGCCAGGCAACCTTGCTCAGAGTGACCTGGTTTAGTGCCCTGCTGCAGGAAGCTCTCAGGATCTCTTAGTGTGTCTTAGTTCCATGATCCAGGTGTGCAGCTCCTTTCAAGATGAGGGATAAGAATCCCTAGGGCAAACCCTAATCATAGAGTGACTCTGAACATACTAGACTTCATTGCTAGGTGGCAGCTCAGTCATCATCTGGGTGGTCAGAAGTCTAGTCATCGGGCATCACTGTTCCCTCTAGAACATGGAGGGCATAATGAGAGCCCATTTGGCTGTGATGGGGTTAGATAGATATAGGTGGTTTAGGGACCCTCAGCCTATGCCCAGCCTTTCCCAGTTGGGAATTTGGGAATGAGTGGTATGTGCCCTGGCTGAGCCTGGCTGTCTCACCAGGTTGGACAGGGAGCCAGCAGGTGAATATGTCCCAGAAGCTGAGGGATACTGGTGGCAGGTGTTGTTAGTCCAGTTTTCTGTTGGAAGTAACACTACATGCAGTGTGAGTTATAAAGCAGGTGTTCATTTTAGCTCAAGGTCCAGGGTGCATCTGATAATGGGCATCTTTCTGGCAGAGGCATGAGGTAGCATAGGGCACCACACATGGTGACAGGGAGAGGGTGTGTGTTTGTGCCCTGGTTTTTCTCTTCTCTAAAGCCATATGACTGACTGACAGTTCCTCTCTGATAAACTTACTTGGTGCTAACCTCTCAGAGGCATACCACAGTTGGATTGAATTTCTCCCCTTCTAACACCTCATGGAGGAGGGGGTGTCGAATGTCAACACATGACACCATAGCAAGACCTCAGTGGGACCAACAGGAACACTGCTGAGGTTAGAGTCCAGCTGAGTGGAGGCCACAGCTGCAGGGGAGCAGTTGGAGGGACTGCTTAATTCTTTTTTAAAAGAAAATACAACCAGGCATGGTGGTGCACGCCTTTAATCCCAGCACTCAGGAGGCAGAGGCAGGCGGATCTCTGTGAGTTCGAGCCAGCCTGGTCTACATAGTGAGTTCTAGGTCAGCTGGGGCTCAGGGAGACCCTGTCTCAAAAAAAAAATTTTTTTATTTTATGTGTATGGGTGTATTGCCTGCATGTATCTTAACTGCACCTGTGCTGTACAATGCCCGCGGAGGTCAGAAGAGGGTGTCTGATCACCTGGAACTGTAGTTAAGGATGATTGTTAGCACCATGTGGGTGATGGGAACCAAACCTGGGTCCTCCAGCCCCTGCTTGTTTTTGTTTTTTTTTTTTAATTTAATGTGTATGAGTGTATTGCCTGCAGGTAGGTAGGTAAGTGCACCTGTGTTGTGCAATGCCCACAGAGGCTGTCAGCTGTCAAATCCCCTGGGCCTGGAGTTACAGACAGTTGTTAGCTGCCATGTGGGTGCTGGGATTCAAACCCGGGTCTTCTGCAAGAACAACCAGTGTTCTTAACTGTTGAGCCATCTCTTCAGCCCCAATGCTTGATTCTTTTAAAGATGGAAGAAATGTTGCTCTGGAGTGATGGCAGTGACCAAAAGCAGATACTGGCAGGTGCCTGGGGTCTCACAGCCAGGGAGCTGGTCCTTGTACAGCACAAACTTTTCAGGAAGGAGGGCAGTTCTGGAAGGTGCAGATGCTGAGGCTCTTGAGGCTGCTTCCATGGGCTCAGAACAGGACAAGTGGGGCCACATGGAGTGGGCAGGAGAGGACTAGGCCGTGAACAGATTCTGCTGTTCAAAGTCACTGGGCAGAGTGAAGGGCCATCTGAGGCTGAGGGTCAGAATAGACAAACACGGTGGCTGGGTTCAGCGTGGCAGGAGCTCTGGATGGGGAGGGCTTGGTGGGTAAGGAAGATTCCGTTGGGGCTGGGGAATGGACTTTTAAGGACAAAGCTGAACAGGAAGTAGACTGTGGGGTTTGGGGAGCCTCTGTCACTGAAGGCCTTACCCTTGTAAAGATTAGCATTCTGACATGAGTTTCCTTTAGCAAGTCCCCTCTTCACCTTAGAACAGGGCTCTGGACCCCGGAGAGTTTGGCAGATCACCCTCTGGCAGAAGTGACTGGCCAACACTGGGTCCATTTGGAGACTGCCTTGTTCCTTTCCTGAAGGGGCTGGCCAACAATCTCTGCCTCAAGGCCAAGGGTTCTCCCTGGCTCAGAAAAGTACTGAGAAAGGAGGGTGCAGTCTCTGAGACCTCCCTCCCTGTAGGCCTGTTCACCAGCCTCCAGCACTGGCATTTCACACAGCCCATAATGTGCAAATGGGCGGGACTGAGTTGTTTGGGGTACCAGGAAACCCATATGTCCCCCCTAGCCACTCTTTGAAGAGTGTGAGGTTTCTGGAAGGTTCAGGACTTCAAGCAAGACAAGGAAGCAGCCAGTTCCCTTCCAGAGAGGAAGAGCCTAGGGCCATCAAATGTCCAAAGCTTCCACTTTGAAATTCTTGGCTCAAGATAGTTTTTTCTTCTTTCTTTCTTCTTTCTTTCTTTCTTTCTTTCTTTCTCTCTCT